ATATGTATATTATTGTTTGTATTAGTCCCTTTTAATGTCTGGTGTTTTTAGCAATAACCTATTTTATTTTAGATATTGGTAACTTGTGTCTTTTCTTTTCCTTCCTAGAGGTTTGTCAATTTTTTAATCTTTCTAAAGAACAGTTTTTTATTTTTAGACATTTTTTAACATTGTTTTTCTGTTTTCAATTTCGTCTCATGGCTTTATTATTTCTTTCTGCTTGCTTTAGTATATGCTGCCCTTTTTCTACTTTCTTAAGTTGGGATCTTAGGTTTGAGATTTTGTTTCTTTTAAAAAAATATTATGAAATTGGTGAGAACACTTAAGTTCTACTCTTAGCAAATTTCAGTTATACAACACAGTGTTATCAACTCTAATCACATTATGTATCAAATTCTCAGACTTTATTAATCTTATAACAGAAAATTTGTATCCTTTTCCTAACCTCTCCCTTTTGCCCTCGTAAGCACACACCCCTACTCCAGCCCGTAGCAGCTACCATTCTGCTCTCTATTCGTATGATTTTGGTTTTTTAGATTCCATAAAAAAGTGATACCATGCAGTATTTGTTTTTCTCTGTCTGGCTTATTTCACTTAGCATAATGCCTTCTATGATCATGCATGTTGCCACAAGGCTGAGAAATACTCCGCGCGCGTGTGTGTGTGTGCGTGTGTGTGTGTGTATCTCACATCTTCTTTATCCATTCATCTGGTCTTGGTTCTTTTTAATATATTTTTATTGTTTTCAGAGAGGAAGGGAGAGGGAAAGAGAGAAAGATGATTGATGAGAGAGAAACATTGATCAGCTGCCTCCTGATTGCCCCCTACTGGGGATTGAGCCCCGCAACCTGGGCATGTGCCCTTGACTAGAATCGAACTCGGGGACCCTTCAATCCACAGCTGACGCTCTATCTAACTGTGCTAAACCAGCTAGGGCTCCATTCATCTGTTGATGGGCACTTAGATTGTTGTATATCTTGGCTATTATGGATAATATGAACATGGAAGTACAAATCTCTCTCCAAGATAATGATTTTGTTTCCTTTGAATATATACCCAGAAGTGGAATTGCTAGATCATATATGGTAGTTCAATTTTTAATTTCTTGAGGATGCCTTTCTCTCTTTCTCTCGCTCTGTCTCGTTCTTTCTCACTCTCCATCTCTCTCCATCTTTCTCCATCTCTCTCAAATCAATAAGCATTCCATTGTGTATGTGTACCACCGTTTTTTAATCCACTCATCTGATAGGCACTTAGGCTGTTTACAGATCTTAGCTATTATAAATTGTGCTGCTGTGAACATAGGGGTGCATATATCCTTTCTGATTGGTGTTTCTGATTTCTTGGGATATATTCCAAGAAGTGGGATTACTGGGTCAAATGGGAGTTCCATTTTTAATTTTTTGAGGAAATACCATACTGTTTTCCATAGTGGCTGCACCAGTCTGCATTCCCACCAGCAGTACATAAGGATTCCTTTTTCTACGCATCCTTATCAGCACTTGTTGTTTGTTGATTTGTTGATAGCCATTCTGACAGGTGTGAGATGGTACCTCATTGTTGTTTTGATTTGTATCTCTCAGATGATTAGTGACTTTGAGCATCCTATCTAATAAAGACATAATATGCAAATTGACCATCACTTTGCAACAAAGATGGTGGCACCCATAAGCACAAGATGGCGGCGCCCAGTCCCCTCGCACCACCGGAGTCCCTCAGTCTTTTAAGCCCCCCCCCCCCACGGGGGCAAGGGGCAAGCAGCGCCCCAGTCCCCCGCAGCGAGCAGACAGTAGGGCACTGCTTGCCCCTCACTGTGGTGCCAAGGGGCAAGCAGTGTCCCAGTCCCCTGTGGCGAGCACACAGCAGTGCCCCAGTCCCCTGGGGCGAGCACACAGCAGGGCGCTGCTTGCCCCTCACCACAGCGCCAAGGGGCAAGCAGGCCCCTGCAGAGAGCAGACTGCAAGGCCTGCGGTGGCGTCGAGCAGGCAGGTCCGCAGAGAGCAGAGAACCACAGGGAGTGGGCCTAAGCTGTCAGTAGGACATCCCCTGAGGGCTTCCAGATTGGAGAGGGTGCACGTCAGGCTAAGGGACCTCCTAACCCCGTGTACAAATTTCGTGCACCGGGCCTCTAGTGTTTTCATATGTCTCTTGGCCTTCTGTATATGTCCACTTTCAAAAAGTGTCTATTTAGGTCCTTTGCCCATTTTTTAATTGTATTGTTTATCTTCCTTTTGTTAAATTGTATAAGTGCCCTATGAATTTTGGAGATTAAACCCCTGTCGGATGTAACATTGTCAAATATGTTCTCCTATTCAGTGGGCTCTCTTGTTTTGTTGATCGTTTCTTTTGCTCTGTAGAAGCTTTTTATTTTGTTGTAGTCCCATTTGTTTATTTTCTCTTTAGTTTCCATTGTCCTAGGAGATGCATCGGTAAACGTAATGCTACAAGATATGTCTCATATTTTGCTGCCTATGGATTCTTCTAAGATTTTTATGGTTTCCTGTTTTATGCTTAAGTCCTTTTATCCATTTTGAGTTTATTTTTGTATATGGTGTAAGTTGATGGTTTAGTTTCATTTTTTTGCATGTATCTATCCAATATTCCCAACACCATTTATTGAAGAGACTGTCTTGACTCTATTGTATGCTCTCGTCTCCTTTGTCAAATATTAATTGAGCATAATGACTTGGGTCTATTTCTGGGCTCTCTGTTCTGTTCCATTGGTCTATATGTCTTTCTTGTGCCAGTACCAGGCTGTTTTGAGAACAATGGCTTTGTAATATAGCTAGATATCTGGTATTGTGATCCCTCCAACTTTGTTGTTCTTTCTCAGGATTGCTGTGGCTATTCAGGGTCTTTTTTTATTCCATATAAATTTTTGGAGAGTTTGTTCTAGGTCTGTGAAATATGCTGTTAGTATTTTAATAGGGATTGCATTGAATCTATAGATTGCTTTGAGTAGTATGGACATTTTAATGATGTTGATTCTATCAATCCATGAACACGGTATATCCTTCCACTTGTTTAGATCTTTATCTCTTTTTTCAGCATCCTGTAGTTTTCTGAGTACAGGTCTTTTACCTCTTTAGTTAAGCTTATTCCTAGGTATCTTTTTTTTTTTTTGTTGCAGTGAAGCACAATACTCCTTAACCATCTTGTTTTTGAAAGGTTAAATTAGGTGCTGCACAGGCAGGCTAAATAGCCATCTCATACGGTGACTGAAAAAAAATGAATTTATTTAAGGAAAAGGAGATGGAAGATGGGGATATCCAAAGGCAAGGGCTACACAGGTTCGGGGCGGGGGGGTTAGCCCAGGAATAGCTGCCTGCTGCCTTTTGCTCCCCTGGTTGCAAGTCTCTTGGAGCTCCTTAGAGATTGGGTGATACGTACCTGTGGGGGAATGACACAGGTGTGCTCCTTGGAAGGAGAATGCATACTGGGTTTTTTGTCCTGAGCCTATTTATCTCTATTACAGGTGGAAATCTTAGGGGAAGTCTCAGGGGAGTCTTAATAGAATAGTCATCAGCTTTCCAGGTGTGCTCTTTAACCTGGAAGGTCCTGGTCTCCAGCGATTCGTCAGTGCCAAGGGGTCATTACTCAGTGTAGCTGGTCCTGAGGCAGCCATGGTGCCATTTCTCTGGTTTTGCTGCTTTTCTGGGCCTGGAGCTGAAATACAGCTGAGGCCTAGATGTTATCTTTAGGGAGGAAAGGTCAGGGGGGTCTAAACCGCCTGACCAGCAATATGAAAGACCACAGGTCCAAACCACATGACCAGTGATATGCTAGGGGAGGTTCTTGTTTTGCCCCTTGCTAGGCATCCAGGGCTTTCTGCCCTGGTGACTTTCTGTACCTGGCCCATCATCCTTGCTCCGGGGCTAACAGTTTCCTTATCCAAGCTCGTAGAGCATGAGACTAACTTTTCATGTTCCTGGCAGTGCTTTTGTGCTTCTCATATCTCTCTCCCATTTTCCAGCGCATTATTTCAAACCTCCTCATGCCTCCTTAACTCTTTCTGTTCCAGTTATTTATTGCTGTGTAATAAGCCACCTAGGAGTTAGTGGTGTAACACAGTGATCATTTTATTATGCTCACAGATTCTGTGTCAGGAATACGTATGGGGCATGTTGCTGTTCCAGTGTCTGGGGCCGCAGCTGGAAGACTCAGGTGACTGGAGGAGATGTTAATGTCTAGGAACTGGAATCCTCTGGAGGTTTCTTCATTCACTCACATATCTGCCTCCTGGCCTGTGATGACTTGAAAGCTGGGCTCAGCTGGGATTGTTGACTGAACCACTTACATGTGGTCTCCATGTGGCTTGGGGCTTCTCACATCAGGGCCATTGGGTTCCAAGAGTGGGTGTCTGGAGACCCAGCATTCTAAGAAATTGAAGCAGGAGCTGCATGGCCTTTTCTGACCCCTTATAAACACTGAAGGGAAATTTTCCCATTAAATTAGATATATGTATTTTGCAGTGTCTTGTATAGTCATAAGTAGAAAAAATGGTTAAATATCATTTGTACATGGTCAGGAAGTTGTAGATTTTGCCTGATAATCTCCTTGAAGTCGTCAGAAGAGCGGTGTATTGAGGTTCTTTTCCCTCACCCAACCTGTGCCTTATATTCTGTGACTTCAATACAGCATACATAATAATCTGTTCTTAATATTAATGCTTCTGGTTCATATAAATAGTTCCTTGACCAAAAAACACTCACACACAACAAAACTTTGAGAAAAGGAAATGCTTTGGGAATTAAATCTGCAGTTATACCATTCTTATTGTTATTAATGTATATTTTTGCATCGCTTTATAAAATTAATTTGTGTAATTTAATGCATTTAGCTGCAATAGAATTTTATTTGTTTTTTGAGTTTGTATGCTTCCCAGTTTGTTACATAAATTAAAAATTGGTTTATATAACCTGTAATGAGATTACTTAATGATTGTTGTTCTGTTGTCAAGTTTTCTAATGTATGCTTCCCCCCCCCCCCCCCTTTTACAGAGGAAATAAAAGTGGAGACTGAAAAACAGAGGTTAGTGGGGTTTCTTTTTTTTTTTAGTAAAAATAATTTGCAAACTTGTCAGTCTTAGCCAAAATAATAATAAAGTTATCTATATTTCAGTGTGACAAATTTTTTTCATGTGATCTTTAAAATAAAATCAGTTTTTAAGAAAAAAATTATAATCATACTTATAAATATATAAGGGAATTTCTGAAATATCATAAGACACGTTTTAAAGTCTTTGCTTAGGCTTTTAGAAAGGTTACTAAATATTTAGTAACCTAACTAATTACTTTATTTAAAGTAAATGATTACTTTCTTGCATTTAGTCACAGCTCTGGCTATTAGTTTTTGATCTGTAGCAAGTCATTTAATTTCTGGGTGTGGTGTCCTCGTGAAATAATAAGGGAAGATGAAAACTGGTTTAGCAAGCTTCCTTTTAGAACTGAAATTCTGTGTTTTTATATGAGTTTATCATCCATATGATAAATGTAGCATTCTATTTAGACCCCTCTTTTTCCTGTAGTCCTCCTCATGGAGAAGCAAAAGCTGGATCAAGCACCCTTCCACCAGTGAAATCAAAGGCAAATTTTATTGAAGCAGACAAGTACTTTTTACCCTTTGAATTGGCCTGCCAGTCCAGATGTCCCCGCATAGTTAATACATCTCTAGATTGTTTACAGGTATGTATAAAATGGCTTTAAGTGAAAACCATCCAACTGGAATGTGTTTCTGAACATTACTCACAATTGATAATTCAGACATTTTCCATGATAGCTTTTACTATGCTTCTTGGTAAGAAACCAAATGGTTGCTTATATTCAAGAGAGACAATAATAGTTGCAAAAATGTTTTTAGTTTAAGGTTAACAAAAATCATTAGTTTAGTGAATCACAGAATCTTTACTAAGGTTACCAATAATGAAAGTGTTGATTTGGTCTGTTTTTCCATCAGTGAAATACAAGAACCATAGTTTGAACCTGCCACTGATGTTACATGCATCATTATTTGCAAATGGTTTTACTAAATGACTGCGAATTTATATAAGACAGTAGGTTAATATTGACAGCTTAGTATTTATATTTTCTGTTGGACTTTAGCTCTGACCTTTATTTATGTCAGGAAAATTTTTTAAATCTTTTATTCTGTTTTACTTATGTGGATTCCCTTACATATTTGTAAGACAAACCTCCAGAGTTAGAGGTCCTACTCTTTTCAGGTGTTTTCACTGTTGGTTCATTTTACCTACTTATACCTATTTATACCTATTTAACAATTCAGTCATGTGGAAAAGACAATATTCTTTTGATCTGTTTTTAATGTTAGGTTAAGGATAAGTTTATTTGATTTGTCACCTTGTTTTCCTTGAAAAATTAAAACTATAATATCTGAGGCCTTTCTTCAAGGGCTATACTGATAATGTTGAATTAACAAATCAGTGATTTATTGTAGCCAATGTATGGAAATTCGGTTTTCTTCTTAATCACAGATCTAATTTGGAAAGAGATTTTGGGTTATTAAATGAGTGAAGATAGCTTTCACAAAAGCAGTATTAATACTGTTTAGATAGAAAGCATTAAGCTATTCTAATTCATCAGAGACAACTACTTCTAAGGCCTGGCTTTCTCAAAATTTCACCTGATTGTTTTGTTGTGGTTATTGTTCTGTTTCCATGGTAATTGCAGTGTAAGTAATTTCACATGTTTATAGCTAATAAAGCTTTCTTTTTCTTTTCTTAATATATTTTTTATTGATTTCAGAGAGGAAGGGAGAGGAAGAGATAGATAGAAACATCAGTAATGAGAGAGAATCATTGATTGGCTGCCTCCTGCATGCCCCCTACTGGGAATCGAGACTGCAACCCAGGCATATGCCCTTGACCGGTATCAAACCTGGGACCCTTTAGCCCGCAGGCCGATGCTTTATCCACAGAGCCAAACTGGCTAGGGCCTAATAAAGCTTCTTCATGAAAAGTTGGTATAGCCTTGGCTTTGACTATGCCTTAATGATTTATGTAATAATTTTAATATATATTCAATTATATATTGTAATTTTAATGTATATTTAATTAGTAGACATATTAGTTAGCTTAATTAGATTCTTTATTTTCTTTCTCCATTTCAGAAGCTTATTGCTTATGGGCACTTGACTGGCAATGCTCCAGATAGTACAACACCAGGCAAAAAGTTAATTGATAGAATTATAGAAACGATTTGTGGCTGTTTCCAAGGTCCTCAAACAGATGAAGGAGTTCAGTTGCAAATAATAAAGGTAAATAATTATATAAAGTGAATTTATTATTTTTAATCTGTATTTTTAAAAAGCCTTTTACCTTGGAAAATATTTAGAAAGGTCATTTTATGTGCTTTGTTGGTATAATAGAGGTTATTTGGGTGCTTTTTAGATCCTATATCGGGATTTTGTTGTTGAATGCCAAGAGTTTATTAGAAGACTATATTTTCAAATATTTTATTTTTGAGGATCTCAATTTAGGCTTGGGAGCCCAGCATCTTTCAGAGAGTTTCAGTTTCTGTCATGTTTACCATACATATTGCATCTTTTGAGCTTTAGGGTTCCATGTGAGGGCCCCATGACCCCTGTAGTTTCTTCTGTACTGCCCGACCCCTTGTAGTCTTCCTTCTAGACCAGGGGTGGGCAAACTTTTTGACTCGAGGGCCACAATGGGTTCTTAAACTGGACTGGAGGGGGGCCGGAACAGAAGCATGGATGGAGTGTTTGTGTGAACTAATATAAACTCAAAGTAAACATCATTACATAAAAGGGTATGGTCTTTTTTTTCAATAGTTTTATTCATTTCAAACTGGCCGGATCCGGCCCGCGGGCCGTAGTTTGCCCACGGCTGTTCTAGACCCTGCTTCACCAGGTGGACTCCTTACGTACTAGTTTTCCTGATTCCCTTGCACCTATCCATCTGCTGAACCTGCTCAGCTAAACCCTGTCCTGGGTTTATGCGATATTCCTGGCTGATGAAGCTCCTTTAAAGAAAATCACTCAGTTGTGTTTTAGTCTCTTATAAATATAGAATTCTTCTTTTTTTCTTTTTTTCTTTTTGCTTATCCTCACCTGAGGATATTTTTTTCCATTGCTTTTTCAGAGAGAGTTGGGGGGAAAAAGGAGGAATGGGTGGAAAGAGAAGGGGAGAGAGAGAGACCTTGATGTGAGAGAGACGCATTGATTGGTTGCTTCCCGCACGCGCCCCGGAGAGGGAACCCACAACCCAGGTACATGCCCTTGACCGGGAATCGAACCTGAGACCCTTTGCTCTGTGGGCCAACATTCTACCACTGAGTCACACCGGCCAGGGCTAAATATTCAATTCTTAATGTTACCACTAATGGTAGTGGTGGTATGTTTATATATCAATAAAATTGTCCTGTACTAATAGTACTTTTGAAATTGCTTACATGTGTAAAGTGTTCTTTCATGTCTTTTCTGAGTCTTTCAGTTTCATAGCTGTATTTACTTCATGAGTCATATCTTTATTGTAAAAAGCTGTCCAGTCTGTTTGGTCTGTCATTTCAATTTCATGTCAGTCAGTCATGGCTTATCTAGCATATACTCAATGCTGTTGTACAACATAAAAGGACAAAAGAACGAGTTTTGCTTTTGAGAAATTGCAAGTAAACTGATATAAGACAATTCACATAAAGTTACTTTATTGGATGATTTACTTTAGTATTATTTTAAATTCTTTATCGTAAAACATTTTGTGAACATCGTCAGCAATAATAACAGCACGTATGAGTCCAGTCTATAAGAAAGATCTCAGAAAAATTTTTAAGTGAATAAGACACATTGTGTATCCTCCAAACCTGATACTCTAAATCAGCAGCTATAATACATGAAGCACATCTGTGCTTCACGGTGACAGAGTTCTAATGTACATTTTAATAAGCTAAATTATATTGAAGTGAAACTTGGGTTGAAACAAAAAAATTGAATGGCTTTCTAGTGTTTTGGGTTTGGGAAGATTATGTAAGAACTATTTATTGCCAGTATGAGAAAAACATAAAGTATTTTAACAGTTGATGATACATTCAAAGTAGGTAGAAATTTTGTTAGTGCATACGAAAAATTCTATCAGTGTGTATCTGAAAGTGATAATGGTGCCTGAAAGTTTTAATTTTAACATAAAGATACTCACATTTTTGTGCTGAAACTCAAGATGCAGAAAATTGCTTTAATTGCTTTAACTTTGTCTTTTTTTAAGGCATTACTTACTGCAGTAACATCTCAACACATAGAAATTCATGAAGGAACTGTACTGCAAGCTGTGAGAACATGTTACAATATCTATCTAGCAAGCAAAAATCTCATCAATCAGACAACAGCCAAAGCTACTCTTACTCAGATGCTAAATGTGATCTTTGCACGCATGGAAAACCAAGCAGTAAGTATTTAAAAAAGAGAGAGATTGTATAGAACACCGTGAGCATCAAATGCAGAAAAGAGTTTACAGAAATGTATAATGAAATCTTTTGTGTTTGTAGAGAAGAATGACTTTCATTTATAGTCCTACTTACTGGAGATATGTGGTATTGTTTTGTTTTGAGGTTTACTGCCTTGACTTTGGATAAAATATGTTTTTAATTGTTTACAAATAGAATTTGAGTGATAGTGTTTGCCATCATCCTCATGGCAGTGTTTATGAATTGATATTTTTATTGCACTCAAGCTTAGTAAATAGTGAAAGATTTCCATCTCTATTCTTGTGTACCCCCTAAGAAGTGACCACTGTTACTTGTTTTTGTTTTACTATTTTTAATGTTCTTTGTTTCTGATGGACTATCATTTGTAATCAGTGTAAGATTACTCCTTCAAAATTGAAACAACATATTTTACAAATATTAGAAATTATTCTATTTCTTCCCAGTTGCAGGAAGCCAAACAAATGGAAAAAGAGAGGCACCGGCATCATCATCATCTGTTGCAGTCTCCAGTAAGCCATCATGAGCCTGAATCACCTCACCTTAGATATCTGCCACCTCAGACTGTTGATCATATATCCCAAGAACATGAAAGAGACCTTGATCCCCATACAAATGATGTGGATAAAAGCCTTCAGGATGACATAGAACCTGAAAATGGATCTGATATTTCCAGTGCAGAAAATGAACAGACTGAAGCTGATCAGGCAACTGCAGCTGAAAGTAATCTTTTTAAGAAGGGGTTGTGGTGGGTGGTGCGTGTGTGAAGGGAAGAGTGTAGGAATGCGTTATGGTAAAGAAATGTGGAAAGAGTGTATGTGTTCATAGGTATCAGACACATGGTGGTAATTGTGGACTTTCTTTATCCTAGGTGGTAAAAGTTAGTTTCACTTCACCCACAAGCTATCTGTTAATGATATTATGCATTTATTAGCATCTCATGAGCAGTATAATTTATAGACTTGTTTTGGAGGAGATAGGTGTTACTAAAGAAGGTTATAAATATCTCTTAGCACGCTATATAGGAACTTCAGTTTTCTTATTAAAATTAGCTTTACAGCAAACAAGAGACCCATTTAGTAAGATTTTCTAGAATGTGACTGAAAGTTTTGGAAATGATTATATTATTTAGAAAATATGGTCAAAAAAGTACTGAAATTAAATATAAAAAGAAAATTTTTGAGTAATCATCTGACATGAAGATTTTTTTTTTGAGATGTTCTCTGACAGTTTTTCTAAATAAATTTATAAGGTAGAGGTTACAAGATTACAAAATTTATTTATTTTACAAGTTTGTTTCTCTAAAAATAGTCACATGAGTCATTTTTCTCTCTAAACATTGTCCTCAACTCTAGCTATTCTATAAAACTGCCAGGGAGTGTGCTTGTTCCTTTTGTGCCTCCTTAGGTTGGTATCAGAAAATGATGGAGATTCTGTTCCTCTCCAGTGTGGTGTGTGCAACTAAGAAGGTTAGGGCTCCGTTACAGCTTGTCTGAATCTGTGTTTTTACTTCACCTTGAGGAAAGACTTCTGTAATGTATTTTAAGCTTTTAATTTTTTTTTAACCACATCTTTTCCATAGCCTAATAGTGGCATGAACATCAGCACTGGCATGAAATAGATGTTTTACTATTTTTAATAGTACTTTATTATTTATTTTAAGAGGGATAATTTTGGTAAACCAAGCATGCATTCACAGTACCCAAGCTAACAGTGAATCTGTATTGCTTATACAATTTACATTTTCCTGCCCTTGTCAAAATTTCCTGTACTTTCACCATGAGCTTATAAAGGGGCTGATTCAAAGGGTTAATTGCTAATAAAGCTGGGGTGTTATATTTTCCTTTATTTTTTTATCCATGCATTCAGCATGTATTTAGCATACCCTATCATAGGCACTGTGCTAGGACTTGGGGTTAAAAAGCTAATGAAGACACAGCCGTTGCTCTTAGGGTGTTCATGGTCTGCCTGGATGATCATGCATATTTAAATGAGACATAATGTGATAAATATCCTGAAAGTAGCATGTATAATGCAATTCTGGTGAGGAGAGTTAGGACATACTTTTATAGAGAAAGTGATGTTTTAGATGAACCTTGTTGTATAGGGGTACGTATTGGCTAACTAGAAAATTTAAGAAATTTTCGTCAGAAGAAACAACATGGGCTGAGACCCAAGGAATGAAAGAATCTACTGTACTTACTGTGTGTAAGGTACCTCTGTGGGTACCTTATTGGATATAGAATTATAAATAAGACATAATTCCCCATGGCATAGTCATGATTATTTTGGCTTCCAACCACTGATAAAAATGAAATTTTTTTCTGGGAGCCGTTGGTTAAAAATGCATGCTCTGGGGTTAGATTACCTGCTTTGACTCACTAGCTGGACGTTATAATCAACTTCTCTCATCATTTCCTACATGTAATAAATGTTACCCACCCTAATATATTTCTGTTAGATGATTTATGTAAGAATTGACTCTTGACTCACTAGTCATTTTGTGCACATTTTAATGACTGTATATTCAATTATGTTGAAACTCTAATTTTCAGACTAGCTAAGTTTAGCCAACTAGTGCTCAGAAATACAAAGCTTAATGGTGGTAGAACAATTATCTGTCAAGACATTTATATGTTTTTAATCCACAGAAGACACTAAATGCTATTGTTATTGGATTTTTTAAAAAATAAAATAAGGTAACTGATTTGACATGCTTATTTACCAACTAGAGGCCCGGTGCACGAAATTTGTGCATGGGTGGGGGTTCCCCTCAGCCCAGCCTGTACCCTCTCCAACCCAGGACCCCTCGGGGGATGTCCGACTGCCTGTTTAGGCCCGATCCCAGGGATCTGGCCTAAACAGGCAGTCGGACATCCCTCTCACAATCCTAGACCACTGGCTCCTAATCACTCACCTGCCTGCCTGCCTGGTCGCCCCTAACTGCCCCCTCCAGCCAGCCTGACGCCCTTCACTGCCTCTGCATGCCAGCCTGATTGCCCCTAACTGCCCCCCCTGCCTGCCCAGTCACCCCTAACTGCCCCCCACTGCTGGCCAGGTAGCCCCCAACTGTCCCCTCCCTGCTGGCCTGGTCACTCCTAAATTCCCCCCCCACCCCCGCCAGCCTGATCACCTCTTACTGCCCCCCCTGCCGGCCTGGTTGCCCCTAACTGCCCCCCCCCACCCCCCACCAGCCTGGTCGGCCCCAACTGCCCCCCGTTGGCCTGGTTGCCCCTCACGGCCCCCTTGCTGGCCTGGTTGCCCACGCAGCCTGCTGTTCAGTCGTTTGGTCATTCCTCACTAATTCCCCTGCCAGCCTGGTCACCCCACACAGCCTGTTTGTTCAGTCATTTGGTTGTCCCTCACTAACCCCCTTGCCGGCCTGGTCGTAGGCAGCCATCTTGTGAGGGTGTGAGGGTTAATTTACACATTACCTCTTTATTAAATAGGCTTTTCACATTATGGCAGTATTTTGTAGAATGCAGCAAACAATAATTTCAGATCAGTGAACAATAGGGAGGTGGGCAGGTTTCCGGAAGCCAGAATTATAAATAGTGGTTCTTTATGGAGGTGTGAGGGCGGATGGGGTATAGACAGCAACACTAACAGCTAATATGCAGTCTGAAGCCATTGATGAAGAGCAGTGGCTCCCAGAACCACTGCTCCCCAACCATCCTCAAGTACTAATTGAGCCTTCCTGATATATTTTGAACATTTCAAAAACACCAGTAGAAATTCTGTTTTTATCTACAGTAGTCCATACAAGCTAACCATCATGTTAAGGTTTTCATCAGTTTCTTTTATACTGCTCAGAAGTTCTGGTTGGCAGTTACATGTTTTTAATTAATGTTAAGTTGGAGAATGAGTTCCTTTTTACTTACTAAATTAAATGATACATTGGGTATGTAAATTTTGTTGGGGAACAAGTAGTAAAGAAGGGCTGGAAATCAGTGGTGGAGGGCAAGATGGCCCTGTCTTTGCTGCTTCAGGAGCTCACTATGATAGAGCACAGTGATGAGCTTGTTATTGGGGAGCCTAATTAATCAAAACAAGCTTTAACGACATTGAATTATGTTATTTGGAAGGGTGGCACATGTTTAAAATGTTTCATTTAAAATACTTTTAAAAGTTTTGGTTCTTAAAGGAATAATCTAGAAAATTCACATAGTTGTGCAGTCAATGGTTTGTCAAATGAATCATTGTTGAAACTGACTTGAATTTATATTTTAAATTTTGATTTGGTTACAAATTTTGGTTTAACATGTATTGCTTCTAGTTTCATTTATCTATTTGATTTTGACTTTTATTAATTTTTAAAAGAAAGCTTTTCATTATGTTTTGTAATAGTTTCTAAAATGAAATAATGTTTTCTTTTTAAAGCATTATCTAAAAATGACATATTATATGATGGAGAAAACCATGACTGTGAGGAAAAGCCACAAGACATTGTACAGAGCATTGTAGAAGAAATGGTGAACATTGTTGTTGGAGGTAATGTATTCCACTAGGAATTAGTGTATTCTGTATTACAGTATTTCATCTGACTGTGAAAATTATTTTTATAATGTGTGGATTAAAAAGGGCAAAAATATAACATCTTCCTCAAATCTGTGTGTGTGTGTGTGTGTGTGTGTGTGTGTAGAAAATATATTTAAATATCTTTGATTATAGAAGTCCACTGAAACATGTAATTCATGGTATCTTGCACAGGACTAGCATAGTACTTTGCTACATATACTTCTAGAAATAGGATTAAATTATCAGAACCTGTCCTATTTTCTAGAATTTCCTCTTAAGATTTTGGCCCATTGATCATACCCTTCTTAGTTTTCCTGTGCTATTAAAGTTTTTGTCTCTTGTTTATATTTTTCTTAGTAATTTCAGTGGTATTTGTTAAAGGAGAAAGTAAATTAGTGGGCTTCATTCAGCACCTTTAAAACAGAAGTTTGCACTTGTGTATAGGGGACAGTTAAAGGAGAAAACAGTGGAGAATAATATCTAACTCTATTCAGTGATTTTGTATGCTTTACTTGCATTTACTCATTTGATCCTTCCAAACACTGGGATGTTTTGATACAATTACTTTTCCCTTTTTTAAATTTTAATTTATTTTTGAGATGTTATATCTCATTTATATTTTTCTTTATTTTTTTTACCCCATCACCATTTATCCTCCATATACCCTCTTATACCTCTACCCTCCGTCCCCAGGCACTGTCCCCCCCACTCCCACACACACAATCAGTATGTTTCCATCATGCTAGCTTATAGTTTTCTTTTAATGGGTAGCATGAAAGAAGCAGTGTCTTGAGATAGCTACTGAGTTATGGCCATAGACACGTATGTGTTCCTTTTAAAAGAAATACACATCACACCTTAGAGTGGTACTGAAACTTGGTATTATTTGCATTATCTATGTTTGTTTTATCAGAAGTCATTTATTTATGTTTATAGTAATTACAAGTATGATGATTTAGAGTGATATACTGAAAAAAGTTCAGGGGTATAGGCCATTATTTTCATAGTAATGTTCTAAAAAATATGTTATTAGAGGTATTCATAGATATTCTTAAAGGGGGAGAGGGCTCATGGTAAAACAAATTTGAAAATACTGCATATTTTATATCTCTTTTGGAGAGCCCAGTGCATATTAGCAAATTAATATTACAATAAAGAAACCTATTTCCCAGTATTTCCCTTTACTTGATAATGGGATATTTTTTTGAGAAATTTCTAGTACCATGTTAAGGCATTAGCATTCATTAGAACCCAGTTTAAGAAATGCTGATATGGACTAAAAGTAAGCTGCTTTTTTGACACATTTAAGCCTTTCATCAGCTGTGTTTCATTGCTAGCGCTACTTAAGAATCATATTTGGATGTATTTCAAATGCATATTCACTTACTAGTAAGTATGCTAACCCTGTAAATGGTGCCAGTATGTGTTACTTCACATCGTTTTTCTGCCACTATTTAATTTTAAATACTCTATGCTTTTATATCCTTAAGTCAGGTGTGTTTGTATGTTTTTTGTTCTTACCATTGTAGATATGGGAGAAAGGACCATAAATGCAAATGCAGATGGCAACATTGGAACTATAGAGGATGGTAGCGACAGTGAAAATATTCAAGCAAATGGAATTCCAGGAACACCAATTTCTGTTGCATATACACCGTCCTTACCTGATGACAGACTCTCTGTCTCTTCCAATGATACTCAGGTATAAATGGGAGTGGGAAATTCCTGTTAATCTTACACATTTATAGGTCACAGCACCTGCTGGTAAATATATCTAGGTGATAATGCTGACTGATTTCAGTTTGAAGAAATAAAAACTTGGGTGTTTTTTTCCCATTGATATAAATCAAAGCACTTTATTTCCTTAATAAATTGATAGCTAAATTTTTAATTTTACAGTGTTTGTCACTGGTGTTCACAACTTCCCTAACCCTGCCCCATGGAAATTACTTTTAAAAGAGGAATTCTTATCACATATTCATAGGATAATTCTAGTATCATAGGAAGGGGAAAAACTTTTAGAAATCTAGGAAACTTCATCTTACTTTTGTTCAGGGCTACAATGAAATAAATCCATACCATGGTAGTTGCAATTCCTCTGTTTTTTATACCCTATATTTTGTGTTTTTATTCTTATCCTCAAGGATAAGGGTATCTTAAATCATTGCTCCATGCATAGGGGGAAGCTTTCTTGGCCTTGTTGACCTTCATTAGCTAACAATTTTTAAACATTGCTAATTAAACAATGTTTAATTTTTAAACATTGATAATCTCCATCGTCTTATTTTTATCTGCACAAAGTGCAAAAACACAAAACACCCAATGACAGGTAGTGGAAACCATAGTTTAGGCTGTGTATGAAATATCTTGTCAGGGCATAATGTGCTAGTTTTAGTTAGTAATAACATGAACTGGGAAATTGTTGAGGATAGGGGTGCAGTGTCAGAGAAACAATGTGACAGAATCCTCATATGGTTTCCCTTCCAATAGAACCTCACCTATTACTGAATTGAATAAAATGTATAAAAGGCTGAAATGACTTTACACTGGCAAATACACTTATTTGCATACTATGTTAACTTGTTTAGGAATCTGGAAATTCTTCAGGACCTTCACCTGGTGCTAAGTTTTCCCACATTTTACAAAAGGATGCCTTTCTAGTATTCAGGTCATTGTGTAAACTGTCAATGAAACCGCTGTCAGATGGACCGCCAGATCCAAAGTAAGTCATTAGCTGTTCTGCCTAACAAATACAATTTTAAAGCTCAAAATGTATTCCAAGATAGTCTTTGGCTTTTCTTTTTTCCACTTGTCCTGTAGGATCCTCAAAGTATATTTATATATATTTAAAAACTGAGTGTTCCAAAACTGTTAGATAACTTAGAGCATACCAAAAGCATAGAATTGTATCTGGTACAGTAAATACTGACTGGTTGAGTGAATTCCTATTTCAGTTTGTAAGTAACTTGGGAGCTAATGTAGCTCTGTTACATGTAGCCTCATGCTAGGCTCTGAAAACTACCAGTTGATTTATTAAGAGAAATAAATCTTAAAAGTCATAATGTAAAAGAAGACATCTGTAATACTTTCAACAACAGAGATTTTTTTTTAAAGTCATAATATATACTCATTAAGGTCTGAAAAATGTGATGATACCTTTCTTCATGGGGAACAGGAGGTACTTTGCAATAGGAGTCTTTGTCTGATTCTCATCAGTCATTTAAACTGTAGGAAACTGCCATTTTTTAAGTAGTATCTTTCATTTCATCTGATTCAAGTGTAACTAATTTCTGCTTGAGATTGAGTTTGGGAGTTATTAGAGAGGCAGAACTTTTCTGGGGAAAGAACCTTGGAGAAGGCCTGAGTGACTTGGAGAAAGGGATATTGAAATGAGGGAAATGTAAGCAACACTACTACATTAAAAAACCCCACAGCATTTTGGTTACTTTGTCAACTAAGAAGAAAGACTAAAGACAGTTATTATAAAAACTAAATCTTCTGTAATTTTATTTTGTAACATTGTACTGAGTCAGTGGGAAACATCTTTTGGGCCCAGAAGGCTAAAATTCTAAAATCTTTTTTAGGTCCAGCTCCTGAGAGTCAGAAATATAATTTATTGATTCTCCTGTATTTTGAAAATATGAACTCTACAGAGAAAGAATTAAGGTTGCTTAGATTGCAGTATAAACTCAATTATAACTTATATATTTTATAAGAATACTAGAGGTCCGGTGCACGAAATTCATGCACTGGTGGTGGTGGTGGTGGTGGTGAGGTGTCCCTCAGTGCGGTCTGTGCCCTCTCGCAGTCCAGGAGCCCCCAGGGATGTCCGACTGACAGCTTAGGCCCACTCTCCGGAGTGGATCTAAGCCGTCAGTTGGACATCCTTAGCGCTGCCGCGGAGGCGGGAGAGGCTCCCGCCACTGCTGCAGCACTCACCTGACGTGAGCCGGCTTCTGGCTGAGCGGCACTCCCCCTGTGGGAGCACACTGACTACCAGGAGGCAGCTCCTGCATTGAGCATCTGCCCTCTGGTGGTCAGTGCAAGTCATAGTGACCAGTTGTTCCGCCTTTCAGTCAATTTGCATATTACCTTTTTATTGTATAGGATATTTAAATTTTTTAAAAAATTTCTTATTCTCATTGAGGAGAGATAACTTTCTTACTCAGAAATTGACAATTTTGAGATCTCGTTCTGAATTGATGAAGACTTACTTTCAGGATGATATAACGTAAGAATTTGGTGTTATTGCTGAAGGCCATTTTTACCATGATTTAAAAATGTATTGGCTATAAAAGCTTTAGATGTTTAGTTTTCTCAAATCAAATATAAAAAAATGTTTATTAGAAACAGAAAAGAGGGAATTGTTTAAAATGCTAAGAATTAAAAGAACAAAAGAAAATATATGAATTTTGAGGAATACTATGTGGGGGAGAGTATTTAGTTAGCCCTGAAAAAAAAGAGTAATCTAGTTTTTGGAGAGCTGCTCTTATGAGGAATATTGTAAATTAACTATCCTTCTACTTAGTGGGCTTAAACCAAATATTAGGAAATATTGTTTGTACATTTAAAAAGACCTTTTTGACCATCAGGATCCAATCATTGGAATTGAATACTGAAAGAGATCACATTTTCACCTCCTAGAAACTGTTGTCTTTCCAAAAGAGAATTTATGGTTTCCTAGCTTGAGTGGTTTTTTTGCCAAAATTAATGAGCTTTTGTATTTATATAATTTTCTTTTTTGTCTTTGCTTCTTTCTATACTTTGTGATCCAGGAAGTGTTCTTTTAAGTTGAATTATAATTTGAAACTATCCCATGAAAAACTGCAGAGCTGAAATTTCCAGGCTCTTTTGCATAACAAAAGTATATGCTACCCAGCCAGTGTTGCTCAGTGGTTGAGCATTGGCCCATGAACCAGGAGGTCACAGTTCGATTCCCAGTCAGGACACATGCTTGGGTTTCAGGCTCAATCCCCAATAGTGGGCGTGCAGAAGGCAGATGATTGATGTTTCCATGTCTCTGTCCCTCTCCCTTCCTCTCTCTAAAATTAATAAAAATAATATAATAAAGTTTATTATTTTAATAAAATAATAGTAATAAAAGTAAATGCTATTGTGTCATAGGACAATCATTTGGTCACTGCTTCATTCATTAATGCCGTATACATTGTAGATATTTAATATTTGAGTACATGAATAAATCCATGAATTATTTTTAGCACATACTATGTACAAGGCATTTTGTTAGATGCTGGGGGATACAAAGAGAAAGCATTCTCTTTAAAAAATTTATGTATTGATTGATTTTAGAGAGAGAGGAAAAGAGGGTGAAAAAGAAACATTGATTTGTATGTGCCCTCACCAGGGATCGAACCTGCAGCCTTGGTATGTCAGGAGGATGCTCTAACCAACTGAGCTACCTGGCCAGGGCAAGAGAAAACATTCTTATAACAAAAAATCATGTGTTATTACTGTAGATTTTATTTACTAGTAGAACTGAGCAAAAAGTATGATAAATGTGAGCCAGACTAGGAAGTAGTAGTTTATAAACCTTGGAAAGCTTCAATACGAATGGGAGATAACTTGGCCCACTCCATATTTTCCTATAGCTATTCAAAGTTTTAGCTCTAGTTGTTCCTAACTTCATGCATCTGAGCTTTTTTTTTTTTTTTTGTAATACTGAATTTGCTGCATATGTTATTACATTCAGAAGCATAGACATCTTGGAAACATGATTGTCATAATGAGCCATGATATTACTGGTTCTGGTTTTATTTCAAAGATGGTAATATTTTTGTGATTCCCATTTACATTAAATTAAATATTCCTTGTTAGAGTTTCTTACTTTTTTTAATCACTTGACACTCCTAACCATGACATTTTTAAGGTAGAAATGAAGATCAGTTAAATTTACTATATGGTGTAAATGTGACTGAATATAGCATTTGTAATGAAAAAATAAAAGAACCAGCTGCTAGAGCATTTAAGTGTATCCTGCACTTGAGAAGTTGCCCGGGTTAGATCCTCCCTAGTTTGATGAGCTTCAGAGGTCTGTTTCAATGAGAGATAAATTGTATTTGTGAAATCTGATTACTAAAATTCTGGATCATGATCAGAATTATAGCATAGTGTACTGATCAGAAAAAAATGTTGTTAAAAATGTGGTTTTTAGTTTTTTACTATAAAAATATTTAGGGTAAGTTGGTAAGCTATTAAGGGATATAAATGTTCTAAAAGCTTCTTTGTATATATGTCAAAAAAGAAAATAAAATGGTTCCTTAAAAAATAACCTTGAAGTTGTGCAACCAAACTTAGTGTTTAAGATTTTTGAATAGTATAACTAGGAAGAAAGTACTTTGGATCTATTATATATTAAGGATGGCACATAATCTGAGAAGTTAATTATTATTTCTAAAAAGTGAAGCATGCTTTTGAAAGAAAGGAACAAGTCATAAATCTTGAAATTATTTTTTTGTTCAAGGGAACAATAGGTTGGTGTTAAAAATTATGAATGATTGTTTTCCCATTTTGGAAGTTTGTGAAATTTTGTGGTACAGGAAAACATCAATGAAACTACCCATCATTAGTGTTTGAGCTTATTCATGTACTGTAGTGTTGTTGTTTTTTTATGTTGTAGAGTTTTCTGTTCCTCTTTATTTAAAAGTTTGTGAAATTATATGGTACCAGGAAATACCTTAGGAATAACCTATTATTACCATAATGTTAACTTGTCCATACACTATGCCTTCTTTTTTTACATTTTAGGTCTCATGAGTTACGATCCAAGATTCTTTCATTGCAGTTACTTCTATCCATTCTGCAGAATGCAGGACCTGTTTTCAGGACAAATGAGATGTTTATTAATGCTATTAAGCAGTACCTGTGTGTTGCACTCTCAAAAAATGGAGTCTCTTCTGTGCCAGAGGTTTTTGAGCTTTCCCTTTCCATATTTCTTACTTTGTTATCAAACTTCAAGACACACCTAAAGATGCAAATTGAGGTATGTTCTGCATTAAGGCGTTATTGCACTTTCATTTATTTCATGTTAAGTCAAATGATAATACACTGGAAAGTTTTTCAGAATGTGAAATATCTGTATATTATGTGTATTTATCTTTTTATTCACTCATTCAACTAACATGTACTTACAAAGTGCTAAGCACTAGGTGAGCACTAAGAATGCAAAATCAAATTAAGACACAGCCCTACCTTCAAGGAATTTGCACTAGTTGTATGAATAATTCTAGTTGTCTGAAATTAACTTGGTCCTCACAATAACTTTGCCATTGTGTATATAGTATGTAATAGTGTTTTTGGTTATCTTAAAAGAAAGCTCAAAATATATACTTTGTGTACATGGTTTTAAGTCATTTAAGTTTTAACAATTTAAAAAGGTGATTGAGAAGGGTTATATTTTTTATTTTAGGACATTTGAAATTTTAATTTTTGCTTTATATATTTTTTCTAATGTGCTTACTGTATTCGTACACATTTTTGAAAATAAACTGTCGTGTGGTTCTAAAGTATTTTCAGATGTCCTTGACCTGGGTAGAGTGGCACCTGGTTTGGTGATACTTGTCTTGAATCAGCCAGGAACAGAAAAAAATCCTTGTTTATCCCAGCTTGGCTTTAGGTCTGTGCCCATGCCTGGCTCATGCCTTGGACCATGTGGATTACTGAGGAAAATAAATCAATCATAAAATGAAATATTTCCAGAGATTTACCAAAACTGAATTAGGGAATCTTCCAACCATGTCTGCATGTATCATGCAGGTGTAGAAGTTACTGATCTTTTGTTTTCACCTTCAAATAATTCAGTATTTTAAAATAGTACTTTATATTTTGGTGATTTAATGGATACCTTTTCCAGCTTGTCATTTGTTATAATATTGTTTGGGTTGGGACATTGTATATTTTACAAAAACTCACTTTCATGCTGGTCAACTTTCACATTCACTTTATATTTGGTATGACATACAGTTTACATCATAATTTTTAATAATTTTATATTTAATCCTAACTCAAGACTAATAATTCATTTCCTCATAAGAAAGGATAAATTGTTATTTTTCCAGAGTTTGTAGATGGTAAAGATAATCATATCTTTATTAATGTTCTGTAGTATCTATTTAAATTCATTTAGAACATTATTATGGGAGTGATGCAGAATAAGGCCTTGGTAAGTTAAGTGAAACGTTATTCAATTTGGGCCATATTTTTGGACAGGGAACAATCTCTGGCCCATACATGGTGTCAAATTTAAGAAATTTGTCATATGTCTACTAAAATAATACAGGCCATTTAACCAAAACAGTTGTTATTTTTACACAGTTTTTTTCTCGTTATTTTTAGGAACTAAAAAAAAAAGAGACTTTAAAAAACTTTTGGAACTTTTGCTATATAACCAGCTAAAAGTCTCTCATTTGATAGAGACATTTAATTGTCATTAAAGAATTTTCGAAGACTGCATTCAGTTACTTAACAGAATTTTGGACAGAGACTCTATTTCATTAATTACTATTAGTAGACTGTGAAATATAACTTCTTACAGAATTAATATCACAAACATAATTTAAGTTGGGATTTCTATTTTTATAGAGTAAATTTTATATACAAAGTTTTTGCTAAGGACAAATTTAAAGAGAAATACTTCAAGAAAGTTCCTGTCTGTTCATGGATGGTAGGCTCTTATTACAAAATTATTGTAATGTTTTTTAAAAGAGATCAAGTTTATTTCACTCTGCATTGTCTCTTAAGGGGAGATTATGAGGATAAAAGAAGATAAGTGTAGATATACTTTTGAAAATACTAAACATTCAAATGCAAGAGAAGCTGTGTTGCTTTTGGAGAAAGCCCAACGTCTGAAAACATAAATTGCAGCCGAAACCAGTTTGGCTCAGTGCATAGACTGTCGGCTTGTGGACTGAGAGGTCCCAGGTTCGATTCCGGTCAAGGGCATGTACCTTGGGTTGCGGGCACATCCCCAGTAGGAGATGTGCAGGAGGCAGCTGATTGATGTTTCTCTCTCATCGATGTTTCTAACTCTCTATCTCTCTCCCTTCCTATCTGTAAAAAATCAATAAAATTGTATTTTAAAAAAAACACACAAAAAAAACATAAATTGCAAAACAAAATTGAGATGTTAAGTGAAGATTCATTTAATGAGAGTATTCACTTCAGAGTTTCTATAATGTGGTTTTTCCATGGGCATTAACTTATATATCTGTTTCTGAAAATACAGTTTTAAATTATCACAATTACGGACTACTAGAATATATGTGCATATTGGATACTGTACAACTGCTCAGACCTTGGAATCAAATTGGATGCTGCCACCCTCATAACCATTTCTTTATTGATTTTGATTCAGTACCTGCTTTTTTAAAATATATTTTTATTGATTTCAGAGAGGAAGGGAGAGGGAGAGATAGAAACTTCAATGATGACAGAGAATCACTGATCGGCTGCCTCCTGCACGCCCCCCACTGGGGATCAAGCCCGCAACCCAGGCATGTGCCCTTGACCAGAATCAAACCAGGGACCCTTTAGTCCGCAGGCCGACGCTCTTATCTACTGAGCCAAACCGGCCAGGGCTCAGTACCTGCTTTTTATCATAGCAACCACTAAAACCAGGTTTGCAAAAATAATGATGGCTTTGAAAAGAATGTAGTGAGATCTAACTGATCTAATGACACTGAACAATTTTGCAGGTGTCCAACAGATGTATTTCTCTGTGAATTTTATCTTAAAAATTCTCATGATAACCCTTTGAGTTCTGGGGCACATTGGTGCAGTTTGGGAACTGTGGCCACGAATATTTATTGAATGCCTACTATATGCCATGTAGTGTGGACACTGTTGTTGGCAGGAAAGACCTGGCTCCTACCTGCTTAGAGGTTACAGTCTTATAGGAAATATGACATTAGGCAAGTACTAGAAATGTGCTGAGTTTTATGAAAGAAAAGCACATTACAAGGCTACCTTATCCAAATTGGGGAGGCATGTTAATCATCGTTCATTGTAAATATGAATTTCTAGGTTCATAATACATATCCTATATAATAAAAGCCTAATATGCTAAGTGTCCAGTTGTCCAGTTGTCTGGTTGTCCCTTCAACCAATCAAAGCGTAATATGCTAATGATATGCTAAGGCTGCTCAACTGCTCGCTATGATGTGCACTGACCACCAAGGGTAATAAGTCGACTGTTTGACCAGTCGCTATGATGTGCACTGACCACCAGGGGTCAGGCACTCCTATCTGTAGGTTAGCTTGCTGCTGGGTCCAGCCGATCGGGACTGAGTGAGATGGGCCGGACATGCCCTGGAACCCTCCCGCGGTCCCTCCCCGGCTGGCCAACCTCTGGTGTCTCTCCCCAGCCCTGATTGTGCACTGGTGGGGTCCCTCAGCCTGGCCTGCACCCTCTCGCAATCTGGGACCCCTCGGGGGATGTCAGGGAACCAGTTTCGGCCCAATCCCACAGGCCAGGCTGAGGGACCCCTCTGGTGCATGGGCCTCTATGATCCATAAGTGTTAATATAGTATGTTGTTTTCTGATTTACTTTTTCAGCCATCCCCTCTAAGTCACAGTCACTTTTCCAAAATAAATTTGAATCTGAAAATTCTTAGCTCTTAAATTGAAATTTATTTAATTAGGTTAGCTCCTTTGTGCTTGACATTATTTGGCCTAAAAGAATAGTGAAAAATAGTTTGTAGTTTTCAGACAATGGCGATTTCCACTTGTGTGAGTAATGATAAAAATAGTCCATGAGAATTGGATAATTAGATACTTTTTATTTTTTAAAAAATATATTTTACTGATTTTTTACAGGGGAAGGGAGAGGGATATAGAGTTAGAAACATCAATGAGAGAAACATCGATCAGCTGCCTCCTGCACACTCCCTGCTGGGGATGTGACTGCAATCAAGGTACATGCCCTTGACCGGAATTGAACCTGGGACCCTTGAGTCCGCAGGCCAATGCTCTATCCACTGAGCCAAACCGGTTAGGACATTAGATAATTTTTATTATGTGGACTACACATTACTTACTTTTAAAACTAGGAACAATTAGGTTTGCTCCGTATTATAATGTCTGAAAATACAGGGTGGGGCAAAAGTAGGCTTACACTTGTTTGTATGGAAAATAGTACAATAATTAATAAATAATAATACAAGAATAAACTTTGTGTTTCCCATACTCACAGCTGTAAACTTGCTTTGGCCCACCCCATCTGACTGATGAACAGAATATGATTTATGCTTTCTGGGGTGTTAAAATGAATTATGAGTTATATTAGTTTTGTAAATATGTTCAGGAAATTATTCAGAGGAACTCCAAATCTTTGTAGACTTCTTTTGTAGTGGCTGTGTGATAGCAAACAAATTAATGTGAAGTGCAGTGCTCCTACTGCGAGGGTTCGTTTCACTCACCCCCCTAGTGATTTTAGTCCTGATGTTTCAGAGATGGACTCAAAAGAGTGGACTCCAGAGGAACCTGGGTCCTAGTCTCTGTTCTGCAACTTTGGAATATTTAAAAAGTGATCACATTTATGAATTATAAGCAATATTTAAAAACAAATGTTTTCCCCTAATCACAGGTGTTCTTTAAAGAAATTTTCCTCTATATTTTGGAAACTTCTACCAGCTCGTTTGACCACAAATGGATGGTTATTCAGACATTGACAAGGATTTGTGCAGGTATTTGAAATTATCCATATTATCTCTTTCTTATAATGAGATATTTAAAAGGTTGAATATACTCATATACTAGATGCCCTTTGTTAATTAATATATTGTATTGTTACAGATGCTCAGAGTGTAGTGGATATTTATGTAAACTATGACTGTGATTTAAATGCAGCAAATATATTTGAAAGATTAGTAAATGATCTGTCAAAAATTGCTCAAGGCCGGGGCAGTCAGGAACTTGGTATGAGTAATGTTCAGGTAAGAACTTTAAAAACATTTTCAAATTTAAACTTTGCCAAGGAAGTGCTATGTGTTTTGCTTAAAAGATCTTGTTTGTATTCTTATTCTGAATTATTCTGTAGGAATTAAGCCTGAGGAAAAAAGGTTTAGAGTGCTTAGTGTCGATTTTGAAGTGCATGGTTGAATGGAGTAAGGATCAGTACGTGAACCCCAACTCTCAGACAACTCTTGGTAAGGTGACCTTTTGAGTATAATTCTTCATCATTTTAAGCAAATGATACTTTGGAGGCTAGTTGCAGATGCCATTAAACCAGTTTCATGATGTCTCTATTCATTTAGCTGATGAAGAAGCATTGTCTGTAACTTAAATAATGAGCTTTAAAATAATGAATTTCTTAACTTAGTTATCCAAACTTTACTCTTTCTAGAAGTATTTTGAATCCTATATAATAAAATCCTAATATGCAAGTCATCTGAACGGCACTGGTTGCTATGACGTGCACTGACCACTAGGGGGCAGATGCTCAACACAGGAGCTGCCATCTGGTGGTCAGTGTGCTCCCACGGGGGAGCGCTGCTCAGCCAGAAGCCCGGCTTATGGCTGGTGAGTGCACCGGCAGTGGCAGGAGCCTCTCCTACCTCCACAGCAGCACCAAGGACCTCTCGGGGTTCCTGGACTGCTAGATGGTGCAGGCCGGGCTGAGGGATCCTCCCTCCCGCCCAGTGCATGAATGTTGTGCACTGGGCCTCTAGTATTATATAAAAGTGAAGCATATTTATGCACTTTGTTAAAGTATAGTTATAGAAGAAATATATAAAAGTAAGTATGTTATAAGAAGATGGAATTGTTTGTGCATGTTTGAGATTTATCCTTACTCAGAGAAAATCTCATAGTTGAAGGGCTACCTGATGTTATCTTAGTCAAGTTCCTATAGGAAAACTGGTGGTCATGAGCTGAGAGCTGAAACCCAGCAGACACTCAGCACTGTGACTGCAAAAGGAACTCTTTTTAACGATGTAAATTGTACATGTATATATGGCACCTAATATTTTATTTGTATTAAACAGCTATCTAAGCAGCAGTGAAATATCTTGCCAATATCTTGAATTTTTTTTACCTTTACTTTTTTTTTTCTTTGAGTAATTTACTGTAACAGTTTTTCTACTTACAGGTCAGGAAAAACCCTCAGAACAAGAGACAAGTGATATCAAACACCCTGAGACAATAAACAGATACGGAAGTTTAAATTCCCTGGAGTCAACATCATCATCAGGAATAGGCAGCTATAGCACACAGATGTCTGGCACTGATAATCCAGAACAGTTTGAAGTCTTAAAACAACAAAAAGAAATAATAGAACAAGGGATAGATTTGTGAGTGTCTGATTTTAAAGAGAAATTTTCTTGGATATCCCTCTACCTGTACTCTGCCACCATTGCCCTGGGCTTCTCTGGATCTTTGGAATATTTTTATTTTCTTCTTATCACCACCTTCTAATGAGTAAAACAGGGCAAAATCTTGCTGACTTCTGGCTCCTTAACCAGCTCCCCTTTTTCATTGCAGTCTAGCCCAAACAGACTCTGTAATGCAATTTAATTAATTTTGCACCACATTTTATATGCTGTTTTATGCATCTGCAGTTTTGTGTTATTAATTTAGTTCAGTTTTAAAATCCCCCAGTATATTTCCTAAGCAGGTGACAGCTAAAAAAAACTTAAAGTATGAAACTAGTTAGTGTTGTTATAGGTTTTATATTTTCTTCACCTGGGTTACAAATGTGCTACTTTTGTTATTGATCCATTGTTGTTAATTGCTTTTTTATATGTTCATATGATGATAATGACCCTTTCCAATCTGGCTACTAAACTGATAGCAACCTGCTTCTGGACTGTTTACCATCTAAGTACTACCATTCTGCTGTCCCTCCTATTGCCCATCTCTTTTTTCAAAGAGATGCTATAAGGAAAAATGAACTTGTTGGCCTTTTTCCATGAATCTAGCTACTGTAAACTATTAAAAATTCCCTGTTTGTTTAGTCAGCTTGCTCCTTCTGTTTTAAAGCATTTCTTCCTGAATCTTAAGCAATGCCTTTTGATGAATGCCTTTTTTACAGTTATTTGTACCTTTTTTAAAATTGACAAAATGTACACATATTCTTTGTCATAAAATTATAAATCTCACAAAATTGCCTCAAGAAGTTGCCATTAATACTTCATTCTAATTTTTCTGTCATTATTTACAAACTATCGTGTGTTCCAGACATTATGCAGGGTCCTGGAATAAATGATAAATGAAACATCCCTTACTTATCGGGGCTCAAGATCTAGCAGTGTCAGCAGATACTCATGCTGAAGGGCGGCTGGTCACTCAGCAAACACGTTTGGTACTTGGGACTGTGTGCCAAGAGCCATGGAGACACTGGTCCTGGTGTTCAAGATGACAGTCTAAATCTTGGCAAAACATTCTTTTTAACTGGTACCTGTAAAGTCCATAAGAGAGTGTTGTACAAAGTACTGCCGAGAAATGATAACTCTCGTACAGTACTTCGCTGTGAGAGGGAGTTGTCATAGGACTTTCAAGTGGAGGTTCCCTGCTGTCAGCCACTAGCCTCCAGCCCTCCTTCCAGCCGCGAGACTCGCTTCTGCCTCAGACTTCCATGGAGGGCTTTCCTGTGGCTGTGCTCAGTGCACTCTCACAGCTGTTCCTTCCATGGCACCGCTCTGTCCCATCCCTTCTTCCAGTTTGACCATGCCATCTCAGTCTTGGTCTAGGCTGTTTATCTCCTGCATATCTCTTAGCATTTAAGGGTTCTGTCCCTTAGCCTTTATCTTACTTTGTATCTTCTCCTAGATCAGTGGCTCTCAACCTTCTGGCCCTTTAAATACAGTTCCTCATGTTGTGACCGAACCATAAAATTATTTTCGTTGCTACTTCAGAACTGTAATGTTGCTACTGTTATGAATCATCATGTAAATATCTGATATGCAGGATAGTCTTAGGCGACTCCTGTGAAAGGGTCGTTCGACCGCCAAAGGGGTCACGACCCACAGGTTGGGAACCGCTGTCCTAGATGATTGTGTTCTTTTTCATGATTTCAGCAACTATTTACTAACATCTCACTACCAAGTGTTAACATAAATACCTCTACTGACATGCAGACTCATCTGTAATTGCCTGTTGGGAGTATTGCATAGCTTCTTCCACTCAGCATTTCCATAATCAAATTTACCAGTCTACATTCTCTCTATAGTCAACTCCCCAATACTCCTACCCAAAACAAAAGACAAACAGAAAACTCACTTTTTCTGTATTTTTTTTATTGAGGATAGTAACCCCAGGATGTTACTAAATTTATAAGCTAAAATTTTGGGAGTTACCTTAGATTTCCCCCTTGGATTTGTCACTAAATAAATAGTATAATCTAATTAGCTCACCTTTGTTTGGTCTTATTTATTCTCTAGTCTTTTCTCACAACTATTCTTTTTGAATGAAAGTCTTAGTTCTGTTTTTCCCCTCTCTTGCTCTTAAAGAATAAGGCCACAACCTGGATCTGCCGAACTCTAAACTTTATCACCTGCCACTTCTTTTTCTCACTTCATTGCTCCACCAATGCTGAACTATTTATTTTGCTGTTTTATGCTTTCATGTATTAGTCTGACCTATTTTACTCTAGGATGTTTTTTCTTACTCTTCATGAAAGATGTGATTATTCCTCAAAGCTCAGTTCCACAGTCACCTTGCCCTGAAAATAAATCATGACCGTCTTTGTAAATTAGTCACTTCTTCTGTGCTATCTTCTTATGAATAATGAACACATTATTTGTTGCACTTTTACTATTGTAATTTTTGAAAATCATGTTTCTTACTTTAGAATAAGAGCTTCTGTAGAGCAAAGATTATGTTTATCTCAGTGAAAATGTTTGATTTTAATTTGTGTACCTGATGATGGTTGAATTAGGACTTACTAGGAAATCATTAGGAGGACAGAACAGGGAAGGACATTTCAGAGAGAGAATGAGGTATGCAACAGCTCAGAGAAAAAAGGGAGAACATTTGGGGACTATTGTTAAGCAAAGTGTGTAGGGGGAGGGAAGGTTGTGAGGGGGAAGCATTGAGTTGGATCCAGATTACCGAAGGCCTTATTTGCCATGGAAAGGAGTTTTGTCTTGTACCTCCTGGCATTGGCATACTATTGAAGGATTTTAAGCAGAGAGCAGCAGCAGCTGATTTCCTCTTTTGGAAAGATGACTTGGCAGCAGCCTGAAGGATGGATTAGAATGTGAACAAAACAAGAGATAGGGATACCATCTAAGAATGCTTGCAATAATACCCAGGTGACAGGTGATGAAGTACCAAAGTAATTATTGGTACAATAAAAGTAGAAAGTAAATGATTTGGAAAGAAAGAGGTGACATTTAAATTGGATCTTTAAGCATGAAGGAGAGTTCCCCAGTGAGGGGAGCAGGTGAAGGGCATGCAGAGGAAATGGGCCGCAAATGCATGGTGTTTAGGGAATGAGACAGGGTATGTGGGAGTAGATGAGATGAGGGGATGAAAAATGAATGAGCTATATTAAGAAAGGTTTTATGTGGCAGTCCAATCATCAATTTGGACTTTATTTTGAAAACATTGGGTATCTACAGGTCTTTTTTAATAAAGGAAATAATGCTGTCAGATTATAGCTTAAAACAGTCACTGAATTTAAGTTCTGTACTTTAAAAGCAGGAAACTTAGAATTAATAGGTGGAAAACTTTGCATAGTATAATATTTTTATATTTTCATGCATAGATTATATTAAGTAAGTTTCTATTTTCTCAATGCTATTAGAAAATCAATTTACTAAGGTCTTTTCCAGGAATACAAATAGTTTTCTATTTATGATGTCGTTATTAACTTTAATATCATCTAGGTTTAATAAGAAACCAAAGAGAGGAATACAGTACCTCCAAGAACAAGGAATGCTTGGCACTACACCTGAAGATATTGCTCAATTCTTACATCAAGAGGAAAGATTAGACTCTGTAAGAGTACCATTTTAGTTCATTCTAACCTTTTCTATAAAATTTCTTTTTAAGCTAATAATGATATGTATTGTTGCCCTCCCAAGTATGCAAGTAAAACTTAAAGAATAACCGTAGGTATTCTTAATTTTGCTTTTCAATTTTTTAAACTCAAAAGTATATCTTGATTTTTTTTTTTATATAAACACATTCAGTATGTTTAACTTATAGCTTCATGTTTGAAGTAGTTAAACCTATACTCAAAAACTGTGGGTCTTATGGATTTTTTTGCTTTTTAAATGGCTGTCTGGCAAATGTTCCATTAGGAAATCAATTTGTGTTTTGTTCTTTAGACTCAAGTGGGTGAATTCCTGGGAGATAACGACAAGTTTAACAAAGAAGTCATGTATGCATATGTGGACCAACATGACTTTTCAGGAAAGGACTTTGTTTCAGCCCTTCGAATGTTTCTGGAAGGATTCCGTCTTCCAGGGGAAGCTCAGAAAATTGATCGATTGATGGAAAAATTTGCTGCAAGATACCTAGAATGCAACCAAGGGTAAGCAAGATTCAGATTCTTACTGGTTGCCAACTATCAGGAGATTCATAATCCTCTACCTTCAGGAAACTTAGATTGTCTTTGATCGGGAGGTAATCAGATAGTTCCATTTAAAAATTGTAATGTGAGATAGAACATAAATCCTGAAGAAGTAAATTAAAAGTGCTTTGGGGCCGTAACCGGTTTGGCTCAGTGGATAGAGCGTTGTCCGGCTGACTGAAGGGTCTCAGGTTCGATTCCGGTCAAGGGCATGTACCTTGGTTGCGGGCACATCCCCAGTGGGGGGTGTGCGGGAGGCAGATGATCGGTGTTACTCTCTCATCGATGTTTCTGGCTCTCTGTCCCTCTTCCTTCCTCTCTGTAAAAAATCAATAAAATATATTTTTTTAAAAAAGTGCTTTGGAATCTATAAATTCAACGCACTTCCCATTAAAATACCAACGGCATACTTCAGAGATCTAGAACGAACTCTCCAAAAATTCATCTGGAATAAAAAAAGACCTCGAATAGCTGCAGCAATCCTGAAAAAGACCAAAGTAGGTGGGATCTCAATACCAGATATCAAGATGTATTACAAAGCCACTGTTCTCAAAACTGCCTGGTACTGGCACAAGAATAGGCATATAGATCAATGGAATAGAATAGAGAGCCCAGAAATCGGCCCAAACCAATATGCTCAATTAATATTTGACAAAGGAGGCAAGAACATACAATGGAGCCAAGATAGTCTCTTCAATAAATGGTGCTGGGAAAATTGGACAGATATATGCAAGAAAATGAAACTAGACCACCAACTTACACCATACACAAAAATAAACTCAAAATGGATAAAGGACTTAAATGTACGACAGGAAACTATAAAAATTCTAGAAGAATCCAAAGGCAACAAAATCTCAGACATATGCCGAAGCAATTTCTTCACTGATACAGCTCCTAGGGCACTTGAAACTAAAGAGAAAATGAACAAATGGGACTACATCAAAATAAAAAGCTTCTGCACAGCAAAAGAAACCATCAACAAAACAACGAGAAAACCCACTGTGTGGGAAAACATATTTGCCAATGTCATATCCGATAAGGGCCTAATCTCCAAAATTTATAGGGAACTCATACAACTTAACAAAAGGAAGATAAACAATCCAATCAAAAAATGGGCAAAGGACCTAAATAGACACCTTTCAAAAGAGGACATTCAGAAAGCCAAGAGACATATGAAAACATGCTCAAAGTCACTAATCATCCGAGAGATGCAAATCAAAACAACAATGAGGTACCATCTCACACCTGTCAGACTGGCTATCATCAACAAATCCACAAACGACAAGTGCTGGAGAGGATGTGGAGAAAAAGGAACACTTGTGCACTGCTGGTGGGAATGCAGACTGGTGCAGCCACTATGGAAGACAGTATGGAGTTTCCTTAAAAAACTGAAAATGGAACTCCCATTTGACCCTGTGATCCCACTTCTAGGAATATATCCCAAGAAACCAGAAACACCAATCAGAAAGGATACATGCACCCCTATGTTCATAGCAGCACAATTCACCATAGCTAAGATCTGGAAACAGCCTAAGTGCCCATCAGTAGATGAATGGATTAGAAAACTGTGGTACATCTACACGATGGAATACTATGCTGCTCTAAAAAGGAAGGAACTCTTGCCATTTGCAACGTCATGGATGGAACTGGAGAGCATTATGCTAAGTGAAATAAGCCAGTCAATGAAGGAAAAATACCACATGATCTCACTCATTCATGGATAATAGAGACCATTATAAACTTTTGAACAATAATAGATACAGAGGCAGAGCTGCCTCAAACAGATTGTCAAACTGCAGCAGGAAGGCCAGGGAGGGTTGCGGGGCAGGAGGTAGGGGGGTAAGAGATCAACTAAAGGACTTGTATGCATGCATAGAAGCATAACCAGTGGACATAAGACATTGGGGGATAGGGGAGGCTAGGGGACTGTCTAGGGCGGGGGGATAAAATGGACACATATGTAATACCCTTTGTAATACTTTAAGCAATTAAAAAAAAAAAAAAAAAATAATAAAGTGCTTTGGGGTTTGAAGTGACTAATTTAATGAAACTGTAAAACAATAAAAGTTTATAACATGATACATTTATTTTTTCAGACAAACCCTGTTTGCTAGCGCAGATACTGCTTATGTTCTGGCTTACTCAATTATTATGCTGACCACAGATCTTCACAGTCCACAGGTATGTTTTCTTCCAAGCCAGTTCTATAATAAATAATACAAATTAAGTACTCTGAGTTCTTTTGAATTTAATAAGTGATAGTTGAAATTTTAATGTTGTTTAGTCAAATACCCCAGTTTTGTGTTTGGTTTAATTTAATGTAGTATACATTTACAAATGCAGTTTCTGGTAGTTATTCTAATTAGACTTTTAGATATCTGTAAGATAGATCTATATTTGTCTGTCTCAAGATTAACAGCTGTATAAAGCTTAAGGTAAATTTTAATCTAAGAATGTGATATGGTTCTTCTGCCTATACTTAATTGCAACATGAAAAAACACTATATATAAACTGTCTTCTTTTTTTTTTTTTACATTTTAAACTTAAACATTAGAGTGATTAGTATAGTGATTCTTCCTGTGCCTGTCACCCAGCTTCCACAGTTATCAAATTATGGTCAATTTTGTTCTATTTATGTCCCCCTCTCTTTCACAGATCATTTGGAAGCAAATCCCAAGTATCATATCATCTCATCTATATTTATTTCATTATATATCTCTGAAAGAGAAATATTCTATTTAAACATAATCCCAATACCAGTACACAGAAAAATTAACAATACTTTTAAAATATCAGGTATCCATGCCCTAGTCCAGTGATGGCGAACCTTTTGAGCTCGGTGTGTCAGCATTTTGAAAAACCCTAACTTAACTCTGGTGCCATGTCACATATAGAAATGTTTTGATATTTGCAACCATAGTAAAACAAATATCAATATATTTTTGATATTTATTTTATATATTTAAATGCCATTTAACAAAGAAAAACCAACCAAAAGAAATGAGTTCGCGTGTCGCCTCTGACACACATGTCATAGGTTCGCCATCACTGCCCTAGTCAGTTTGGCTCAGTGGATAGAGCATCACCCTGCGGACCAAAGGGTCCCAGGTTCGATTCCAGTCAAAGGCATGTACCTTGGTTGCAGGCTCCTCCCCTGCCCAGGCCCTGGTCTGGGCACCTGAAGGAGGCAACCAATCAATGTGTTTCTCTCACATTGATGTTTCTCTCTGCTTCCCCTCTCTCTCTTCCACTCTCTTTAAAAATCAGTGGAAAACAAAAACAAACAAGCAATAAATAAATAATAAAATAACAGGTATTCAGGGAGTATTCAAATTTTATTTTCCTCATAACATTTATAATTCCTTTTTAAATGTTAAGGAATATAACTTGATTTCTGATGTTCATTTGCAAACACTTATTTTAAACATTTTAGGTATTTTATGCTTAGTTTTCAAAAACATGCTTGGGTATCCTTGGGGAAAATTACCTTTATAAATTAATCTATTTCCAAAAATTTATTTGTACTTTTTAGGAATAATGCAGCATATGATATTTACTATTTTTAGGATGTGAAATAAACTATATGCTTTTTCCTAATCTGAGGTGTATTGAAAAATTAAAATCTATTTAGTTTGAGATTAAGCTTGGCAATACAGGGATTGTGTGTGTGTGTGTGTGTGTGTGTGTGTGTGTGTGTGTGTGTATTTTGAGATGTTTAAAGCAGGGTTGATATGGAAAGTATATACCAAATGTATAATGGGAGAATTACAGAATTGTGGATACCATACAGAGTTGTTCCTAGTTTTAAACATCAGAATTCAACAACTGTGCATTTACCAGAATTACTTGATTTTATATAGACCTTTATATAGAATATTTACACGTTTAAATATTCCTTTCTCATATTACTGACAGTGTAGTAAAAGCAGCCCACTTTTAGGGTTTTCATTGTCTAGCACAACACTTTTCCCATGGGTTTATAAGGCAGTCTACATTTAAAGACTTACTTGGATATCTTCTTTTTTTTCCATCATCATTTATGCCCTCCCTCCTCCACCCCTAGACCCCACTATCACTGCATTGTTGTCCATGTTCATAAGTTCTCTCTCTCTTTTTTTTTCTTTTTTGCTAAATCCCTCTACACCCCCCCAACATCCTCCACCCACCCCCCTTCCACTGTCCCCCAGCTGTCTGCCTGCTCTCTATCTATGACTCTGTCTCTGTATATCAGAGTTTCTTATCTGGTTTTTCTGTCTAAACCAAAAGTAGAATTATGTTTTACACTACCTCCCTTTGTTTTTAGAATGTTGTATTTTTAAAGAATTTGGTTCTATAAATGAATTATCAATGTTATGTGCATCTGTGTCATGTCTTCCTATACATATGTACCTTCTCATGAAAGTTATTTTAAAGAAATATTAAAACTGCCTTACATAGTATCAGATTGTTAAAAGTTTCTGGACACAAGTCAGTTAGGGAGTGTTAAATCTTGGGAACAGTGTCCTGTCTTGATTGCACTAGTTTCTGTCTGTAGGACACGTGCTGGTCTGGCAGTGGTAGCTTATTGTCATGTGGCTCCTGTCAGACTGCTGGCATCATGTGCTGATATGCAGCATGCCGCTGTGCTTATGGGTTCCTACAAAGCTAAGTTGCTGGTTAGAAAATTGAACCCATAATTATGACCCCATATAATATACACTTTAAGACTATATGAACTATAACAAATGACATCATTTTTAAAGAACACTTTAGCCCTAAGAAGTTTGACTCAGTGGATCCAACGTCGGCCTGCGTACTGAAGGGTCCCAGGTTCAAGGGCATATGCCTGGGTTGCAGGCTCGATCCCTAATAGGGGGTGTGCAGGAGGCACCCAATGAATGATTGTCTCTCATCATTGATGTTTGTATCTCTTTCCCTCTTCCTTCCTCTCTGAAATCAATAAAAATAAAAAATAAAAAAAGAGAATACTTTAAAAGAATCCCTAAAATGAATTCTTCTCATTCTTAATTGTTTTCAAAGTTAAAATATAGGTGAATTTTAACAAGTCATTTATGTTTCTTTTTCACGTAGAATATTTACAGTTAAATTACCTTTTATATATAGTGTGTCAGCAAATTTTTTTAAAATTTGAGGTATATTTAGAACACATATTTTTGTCTTAATCTTTATCATTAGTAACAACTGGCTTTGATTCATGTGTATATTAGAGCAAGTTGAATTAGCATATGCCAGGATGGGTTTTTATCTACATTGCTGTCATTTTCTATGAGTTTTTTATTGTGTGTTTTGTTGAATATTTTTCACTTCTTGCCTTCCAAGTATTTATAAATTCTCTCATAAGAGTATTTAAATTCTTAAAATATGGGTGAAATTTTTATGTTAATTTTTAGGAATTATAATGGCTTTTCATTTCTAGGTTAAAAATAAAATGACAAAGGAACAGTACATTAAGATGAATAGAGGTATCAATGACAGTAAAGACCTTCCTGAAGAGTATCTATCAGCCATCTACAATGAAATAGCTGGCAAAAAGATATCATTGAAAGAAACGAAAGAATTAGCAATCCCTACAAAATCAAGTAAGCAAAGTAGGTATCCAAATCATTTGAATCCTGATTGCTCAGGTGGAAAAATATGGGTACTTGAAAGAGTTCTTCACTTAGGTTAGAGTATTTATTCTAGTGATAGTATTTATATACTATATAGCATTTGCTGATATGATTGTATTTTTTCTCATTTGCTGAAGAAAGGTAGCTCTGGACAATAACTAATGGAAAATGCTACATAATATGCATGGATTAGTGTATGTTTAATATACACGTGTCCATTTAGCAGTTAATCTCAGCACAGATTTGGAGGTCAGAGAGATTGGTCAGGAAACCCCAGTAGTCAGACTTCAATTCTTAATCTTTGCTTCTGCCTCCTTATCAGCTACAAGCAGCATATTTATATCTCTTCATATATCATCATAGATAAACAAGCTGAAAGTAGGGGTGATTCAAGGATATGGGGAAGGTTAGGATTGTGAGATAGCTGTGGAGTTGGAAATCACTACTTCAGATGTGCCACAAATTGTATCACTGTAGAGTTCCTAGATCTAACCAGCATTAGGGGCCAGCTGTGGGCCTGGCTCCATTCTAGACTTTCTGTACATGTAGATAATGGTGATGAAATGAGAGCTAAAATCTGATTACAGGAATGAGACCTGTGATGTGGCTTAAGAATATAACAGTAATATGGAAAGAGGACACCTTCCTTTCTGAGCTTTTCCACTTAGAAATGAACTCTCAGGTTTTATTTAACAGAGCAAGTTACACTAGCAAAATTCTGTTGACAGAAGAGAAGCAAAAAGGCCTATGTGATGTATGTATTTGTAGAAGCTGTTGAAGAATTACAAGATGAGAGTTGGGGCTAGGGAGATGGTTTTAAAAGGAAGAGTGGACGTACTGGCCTTATCTTTTGGAGTAGTATGAGGAATGATCCTCAAGAATTTTAGTAAGTTCATCCTCATTTTATAAATGAGGAAACTAAAATGCAGAAGTTAAGAAACTCAGAGTTTTAGAATTTATGAGCTGAGTTTGCCTAATGTAAAAATTTTTATTAAATCGCTACATCTAAAACCCAAATAGTGGCAAAGCCAGGGGTTGTACTAGGCATCCTTGACTCTTACTGCAGTTCAGTACCAAGCAGCAGTTTACCTGGGTGTGTTGGCTTCAGTTCTGCTTGTAACATTAAGTATATTGATCAAGAGTTCATTTTACACCTGAGTTGGTGCCAGTTCTCTGATTGTTTTCTTCCTCAAACCTATTTTAACATCTTCACATCCCTCTTTCTACAGCCTGTTTCGTATGTGGTGGTAGCAATTAGAGAGCTAGATATGGGAGGGAGATGGTGGTGTTCTGAAATACTGAATCATCCTGGAGTGTCAGGGCCATTGTTTTCTTGTTAACTCAGGAGATACTATTCAAAGATGCCATTTCTTCTTACATCTCTTTTCCTATCCCAGGTTTGTGTGTATTCTCTTCCCTCTTCATAGGTTTTCTACTTATCCCTGACTCCTAGTGCAGGATTTTTGCACTTTTCATTATTGGGGTGAAATTCATTTAATTTAAAATGAACCATTTTCTCCTGGCTGGTGTGGCTCTGTTGGCTGGAGCATCATCTCGTACACCAAAAGCTGGTGGTGGGTTTGATTCCTAGTCAGGGCACATACCAGGTTGTGGGTTCAGTCATCCAGTTGGGTGACTTGTGTAGGAGGCAGCTGATTCAAGTGTCTCTCTCACATTGATGTTTCTCTCTTTCCCTCTCCCTCTCTCTAAAATCAATGTTTTAGAAAAAATGTTTTAAAAAATTAACCATTTTGAAGTGAACACTTCAGTGGCGTTTGGTCCATTCACCTGTTGTGCAACCACCACCACTATCTAGTTCTGAAACATTTTCATCACCCCAAAATAAAACCCTGTTCGAATAAGCAGTTACTTCAGGTTCCCTCCCATTCCTTAGGCCCTGGTTATCCCAGTCTGTTTTCTGTTCCTATGGATTTACCTATTCTGGATATTTCATATGCGTCTAATCATACATTATGTGACCGTTTGTGTCTGACTTCTTAGGACTATTTTTAATTGGTATATTGGTGGTAATTATTGTTTTGTAATAAAACATCAAAATAACATTTTTAAATGCTTCCTATTTTAAATGCTAATGGTGGATGTTTCAGATGTAGCTAATGAAAAACAAAGAAGACTTCTGTATAACTTAGAAATGGAACAGATGGCTAAGACAGCTAAAGCACTCATGGAAGCCGTCAGCCATGTTCAAGCACCTTTTACAAGTGCAACGCATTTGGAGCATGTGAGACCCATGTTTAAGGTAAGAGTTACTAGTAACTTTTGGTGGCAGTAGGCATTTACATATAATGACATATCCCATTGGTATAGACATCGAACCAAAAAGCCATGTTATTTAGGACATGGCAAATACAAAATGTATTCTTAAAGAGAATGACAAATGTATGCACTATTAGGAATTAATAGCTGTGTGATCTTAAGAATAGAAAAAGTTCAAAGAATGATCATTAATCCTGCGCCTGGTTTTCTCTAAATAAGTTTTATTTCAAACTTTAGGTAACTTTGGAGTTACCTAAAATTCCAAAGGATCGTCATTGAGCTGCTTGCTCTCTCTCAGTGCTTCTGGCCTAGGAGCTAATGTAATAGGAGGGTTCTGATATGCCCGGAGCCCAGAAAAAAAGAGTAAGGAACAGAAAGAAGCATTGTTTATTTTTATAGGTTGATCTACTAAGAATGGTGCTGGTTCTTTAAAATGTGATTTCTCATTCCTTTTTCATTTCCTATTCTTTTTTTTCTACCCTTTCTCCAAATTCTAGAATGAGTAAGCAGTGCATCGTAAGGATCGTAGGGAAGTGGAGGGGAGTCTAGTTAAGTTTGGAAAGGGAAAATGGGTAAAGTACATTGCAGTTTGTGTGGTTAAGATGGTCTGTGGAAGCTAAAGGTCATAATTTAAATTCTAATGCAGACTTCACTATACATATGTATGGGTGGTGAAAATGACTACCAGATTTCTGTGCTTCCTTTTAGGTGTAAAATTTTATAATTACTTTTACCCCTACTTCAAGGTCTAAGTGAGAGTGATATTTCTAAAAGTTGGTGGAGAATTATAGAATAGGAGGGGGGCTAAGGAGGTAATGTTAAAAGGAATAGTGGTGTATCACTGGCTTTATCTTTTGGAATAATAATAGAAAATCATGTTGAAATGTTATAAACACTTTTTCTTTATTATAAAATATATTTTATAAGTCAGCTTTTCTGTTTTGAATAATATTATACCCTTCTTTTGTTTTGTTTTTCAAATGTTTTTGTAAAGGGGGAGGCAGAAAAAAGCAAAATAAGGATCTAGCCATAATTCAGCCATTCAGAAAAAACCTTTTGTTAATATACTACTTTTTTATCTTAAACTGTTGTGATCGTATTATGTATAGAATTTTTTATCTTGCAGTTTCTCACATAACTATTTCCCTGTATCATTAAGAATTTGTCAATACGTTTTATGATATGGATTAGTTATAGTTTATTTAAACATCCTCTCAGCACTGCCATTGTTCTCTTCAGACACCCTCACTTCTCACTCTTAATACTGTAGTGTCCTTATGTGCACTTCTTACCATTTACAGAAGCCAGAATGATCTTTATAAAAGAAAAAATGCAGTTTCACCTTCTTCCTTAAGGCTCTTCACTGACTTTGCATGACACTTGATGAAATTAGCACACTGAGAGGGTCTAGAGACCACCTGCCTTTCCAAACTCATTGCTAGAACTCTTCTGTTTCTTCTGTCTCTTACTGTGCTGCAGTCACACTGGCATTCTTTAGGCTTCTAGAATGTCCTAAATTATTTTCTCTCCAGAGCATTCTTATAAGCTGTGTCCTGTGTCTAGAATGTTCTTTTCTTTGCCTGTGTAGTTTCCACTTATAATGTTACCTTTTCAGAAAGTTTTGCTCTGACCCCTCTAATTCAAATTAGTTCCCTTTTCATAACATGCTGTTCTTTTCCTTCATTGTATTTATAACCATTTTTATTTGTACATTTATGTTAATATGTGTATTAAAACGTAAGGCTGGTATGCCTCTTGGCTGTACTTTAAGCTCCACGAGGCAAGGGACTACATCTGTTCTGTTCACTTTTCCCAGTATCTGGCACAGTTGCTCACTTGTAGCCAGTGCTCAATAATAAGCACTGACTGGGTCAAGGAATAAATGAGAGATTCCTAGAGTGCATTATACTATGAAGGGATACACACATTACTAGGAATCTTTCTACAATTGGCAAGTTGTATTCTGTAAAGGTTTATACAATTATGAGTGGGCAATTTAATTTCACTGTCCCTGGATATTATTCAATGTGATTTGATTGGAGAAATCATTGTCTTTAATTTCTAATAGAGTTAAACATTTTTTTACTGGCTTATGGACCATATACTTCCATAAAATGTTATACAGGGTTTCTAGTGGAATGTGTCATTTGTTGCTTCCATGTAGTACTTTGTATTTTAAAAGTTCTGCACTTCATATGCTGCCCAGAGCTTCTCTTCACAGTGATGGACCAGTTATTAAACAGGAGGAAACTGCGTTTCAGAAAGATTAAATAAGTGGCAAAGCTAAGACTTGAAGTTCGGTTCTGTGGTTTATGTTATTTGTAGGGATTATACACTTTATTTCTAAACTTTCTGCTGTTACAAGCAAAGTGTTGTGTTTTCCTTCATAATGCTAAAAACTTCTTAGATCTTTTAAACATTTTAGTTGTCATTTCTATAGCACACTCATATAAACATTTTTTCATCTGTATGGCTATATGGTTTATAGTTTTGCTTCATGACGACTTATGAAAAGCAAATACTCTCACATCAGACATGTCAAAGTCATACACGCACACACTAATCTCTCTGTTTTGACATTAGCATGTTCAGCAGTCAAAGGGTAGCTCTTTTTTTGTTTCTTTTCCATTAAAAGTAGGTATTCAGTTTTTATAGTAAAATTAAGTGTTTGTTGGCTTTCACTGTCTATAATGAAGAAATATTTTATTGAACTATATTTTTAAAGTATTGTCCAGGGTTATCACTGACATGTCAATGTAAAGTATTTGACTGGAAAAAAAAAAAAAAAGGCTAAATGATGTTCAGGGAGCATGCTTAAAGTAAAGAAAGTAATAGAATTGCTGCAAGTAGAAAATGCTAAAGGATTTTCTTGGAAATAAAAAGCCCATGATATTGCAAGGGAAAAAGCTTGCAGAGAGAGATGAGTTCTCAAGTCAGGGGTATAAGTGATACCATTTTTGAATATTGATTATCCCATTTTATTGATGTGAATAATTTATAAATGCTGCACTTAAAATATTCGTAAGGCCTTCTACTGAATTTATGATCTTATTCTTTTATTTATTTAAGACCAGGCTGCATTAAATTGGTTTTTTTCCTTTTGTCTAAGAAAGCTTTCCAAATAGCTATGCTAAGAAATTTATTGCTTTTTTTTTTTCAGAACTTCAAGTTATTTATTGTCTGAAAGCCTTGAGAACTATGAATTTAGTATTATCATAATTTTTAATTAACACTTGATATACATGATATATTTTAAATTTTAATTTTCCTAGTTGGCTTGGACACCTTTTCTGGCTGCATTCAGTGTGGGTCTACAAGACTGTGATGATACTGAAGTAGCTTCTCTTTGCCTGGAAGGTATAAGATGTGCAATCAGAATTGCATGCATTTTCAGCATTCAGGTAATAATGAAATTTGCCTTTGTAGTCAGTCTACTTATGCCATTACTATAGTTTAAATTATTTTTTTATGTTTGACTTAGGAGAAACTAATTTCAAGTTTATGATATAATTTAAATCTTAATATTTAAGAATCTGAGAATCTGTGACAGAGTAGTTCTATACTGATGTGCCTAAAATTCATAATAACTTTGGTTTGCAATTCTTCCCTAAGACTTTGAATTCTTATATGTTAATTTCGATATCTTATTTAAATAAATATGTTGCAAGTTCTTATTGAATCACATATATTTTCATATTTTATATACAGATAGTAGGTTTATAATTATTCATATAGAGAATAAATAATAATACAAGAATAAACTGTTTCATATGTATATATATGTGTGTATGTGTGTGTATATGTCTTAACCCTCAGAACAAGTTTAAGAAAACCAGGTATATAGTACATAATTTTCATGAAGATAGCCCCTCCTAGTAATTTATATGCTTTGTCTGATAATAAATGTAGTCAAAGCTTGCTTTCTTTTTTTAAAACTTTTATATTTTATTATGAATGATAGGACTTAAAAAGCACAGTCTACTTATAATGAAAAAGTGAGCAAGTTTATAAATAAGGTTTCTGCTAGTTCACACAGTACTTGAAACAAATATTCAATGAATGTTTTTCTACTATATGAATTTATTAATAAAATCTCATCTTGATTTGACACCTTCACCTTTGCATGTTAGAAATTTTCTGTCTCATTTATCTTAAAAAAAACACTCTAGTTTGAGATATTGCATATAAGTTATGATTTTTCAGTTAAAAACTTACTAAACAAGTAAACAGTTTGTCATTAGGGAATTAAGGATCACTCTGTTGTGTTTACAACCATGTCAAGTATACTTTTCTCTTTTTTATAGCTGGAAAGAGATGCATATGTTCAGGCACTAGCAAGATTTACCTTACTCACAGTGAGTTCTGGTATTACTGAAATGAAACAGAAGAACATTGACACAATAAAAACGCTTATCACAGTGGCTCATACAGATGGAAATTATTTAGGAAATTCATGGCATGAGGTATAAGCACTTTCTCTGTTTTTAGTTTTGTAATTTGATTTATAAAATGAGCTAAATATTTTATCACTGACATGCCTAAGTGTTTGGGGAGAAAATTAAGTACATTCGGGGTAGATACAGATAGCATTTTATAATCTATATGTATAAAAGCCTAAGCAACCAGAAGACCAGATGACTGGCCAGTAGCTGTGACGTACACTGACCACCAGGGGGCAGATGCTTAACACAGGAGATGCCCCCTGAAGGTCAGTGTGCTCTCACAGTGGGAGTGCCGCTCAGCTTGCAGATGGGCACCAGACGCTGGGCTGACGGCTGAGGAGTGCAGCTGTATGGTCCTCTCCCGTGGACACTACCTCTACACGCACTAGTGGCGGCAGGCTCAATGTGGCCAGGATGAGTGGGAGCAGCAGGGTGCCCAGCCCGGGCTCAGGCTCCTCCCTGGCCGCCTGCGGCTTTGAGCACTGCTTCATACTGTGCGTGATCAACAAGAACAGCGGCTGGAGCCTGATGACCTGGAGGGTAAGGCCAGGCTGCAGCGGTGCAGAGGCCCACTGGTCCCTGCAGGCCGGTGCACCAGGCCTCTAGTGATTTATAATGTAGCCTAGGTTTAAATCCTGGCTGCATACATTTAAATATATTTGCAGACATTTTTAACGTGGAATTAAGTTTTTTCTTTTTTAAAATTAAGATTCTGAAGTGCATCAGTCAGTTGGAGCTTGCACAACTTATAGGAACTGGAGTGAAACCTCGATACATTTCTGGAACAGTGCGAGGCAGAGAAGGATCTCTTACTGGAACGAAGGATCAGGCTCCTGATGAATTTGTGGGGCTAGGCCTGGGTGAGCATTTTACAAATTATTTCTATGAAGTATCAAAAATTGTTTAACTTGTTCAATCTAAGTAACTTTATTGTAGGAATGAAATATAATTGGAGGGATATGATAAAATGCCCATTGGCTATCGTTCTGAGGAAAAACAAGATGAATGTATAGAGAACTAAGCCTTTTTTGCCTGAAATAGTTTGCAACATTAAATGAGGTTTAGTCTTAATCTCGTAGTTGGGGGTAGGAGAAAGGAAGTTTAAAGTTACTGCTTTTAAGACTAAGTAGGTAACTTAAATGAGTGAAGGCTTGTATAAGATTGTAAATAGTAAGGGCAATTGGAGAAAGCACTCACATTCAGGTTTTTTAAAGGTACTGTGCAGACCTACCTAAATGCTTCTGCTACTATGGAAACTTGCCCATGGTTTCCCATGTGCTTAGTCTGGCCAGGAACTTCCAGATTTAACCAAATAGAAAAAAAGGAAAATATTAATGGATACAGGAGAGCCAAAGGCCATGCATTTTTAGTCATAAATGGAAAAAAGTTTCATCAGGGAAGAGGCAAAGTTTAGACTGTCTTTCACTTTGAATACTATACTTTTGGGTTTGAATTCTGCAAATTTCTTCCTGACTGTGTTCAAGTCACTAATTCTCTGAGCTTTGGTTTCATCTTTTTCAAACTAATGGAGTTGTTAGGATTAAATAAGAATATATATAAATGGATTTGGTATGTAGGCAAATCTATTAATGGTTTCTGGATTATTCTCTGTCATTATTTCCCACCCCACTTTAACCAAGAAATCTAGAGACATGACTTAGCAAGAAGGAATGCACCTGAGATCTAGGAGTATTTACCTTTTAAAGCTTTGTACTGTAACATTATATTTCTGGAAAATTTCTATTTTTATCTTTTAGTGATTTCTCTGTTGTTGCTTACAGTAAAAATTCTTAGGAAATCCAAAAGAATTTCAAGCTTGAAAAACGATCAATAGGGAAAGAAGTAAAGACCAGGACCATATGTGGCTTCAAGTTGGACTGGGACAGTTAGTTCCCATTGGTTATCCAACTGTGTCAGCCAGCAGTGCAGTCTGTACCTCAGTTGTACCTTAGATGCTGTGGTTCTGGGTGATGCAGTTGTAGACCTAATAACTTGGTGACCCAGCAGCAGGATTTAGAACTGCCTGAGCACCTGCATGGTGACTTTTATAATCTGGAAGTCTGACTTGGAATATCAGAACTATAATTACTCCAGAAATAGCACAAGATACAGATGAAAAATGTTTACAGGCAAGTGAAATGAATGTGCAATGATTGATTCAATAGCTTTTGAAAGGCCTTTTTTTTTTTTTTTTTTAAGAACTAAGAAGTGTGGGAAGGCCAAAATAATGACAGGTACAAATTGCCAAGGCTCAGTTATGCCAAGCAACAGAAGTAGGTTACACTAAAAATAAAATAGCAGTGAAGTTTTTTTATCTCCTAAAAGTTTAATCAAACAATAAATAATGCATGCTGATAGCATTTACTGTTAGTATATTTGGAAGTAAATTAAAATTAATTTGATCACTGTGCCGTTGTGCCATTTAGGTTGCAAGGATATTAGATGGCCTGCCTTATTCTTTCAGGAGAAGTGCATTTACAGAAAAATACACACTTTTTGGGATCTGGAAGTGAAATAAAAATGTCAGACTTCCAAGCCATTCAAGTAACCAACCATCCTCTTCTACCTCTTTCCTGCTTTATCTAGGCTTTCTCTTATATTATCTACCTCTTTTAGCCTGCCCCATTTTCCACTCACTCCTGATAGATCAGGTCTCTCATTTTTGCGTCTACATCCAAGAGAGAGCCAGTCTTTTGACTTGGCCTGTTAGGCAGAGCTCGCCTTTCAGGCCATCTCATTGGTTAATCCCATGTAGCAGATGTTCACCCCTGTACATCTGTGCCCTGTCACCTATCCAGACAACAGATGCTTTCTTCAGCAGGATGCTGTAGTCAGAATTAAGGCTAGATGATATAGAACAGACAATCAAGTTGGTTTAGTCTGTGTGTGTGTGTGTGTGTATGTGTGTGTGTGTGTTTAAATAAATTAATATCCTTTATTAACAGCATTTAATAATGCACCAAGTATTAGTTTATATACCAAGTATTAATTTTTGCACCAAGTAAGTTATGCACCAATATAAATTATGCACAATTTATTAATGTACTAAGTATTTCATTTTAGCCAAGGTGATAGGGCTGGGTATATATTTATCTGATTGATCCACTTGCACACTTCCAGTACATTGTATATGCTGCTCCTTCTACCTGAATTGCTTTTCCTCTTGTCTCCTTTCCCACATGATCATCCTTCTGGGTCCAACTTAAATTAATATTTCATATTTGAAACCTTCCCATGAGTTAACATCCCCATTCTCCTTTATCCCATCAAAATTAAATATATTTAGCAAAACTAGTATTATATATAATTAGTTTGTTTCAGTCATGAAGTAATCATTACATTGTATTAAAGTTGGTTGTAAGTGGTGTCTCTCCTGGTAAATTGTTAACTCTGAGGACAGGACATCTTTTTTACTTTGTTCAGTTGCTAGAATAGAATTGAGTCCAGCTAGTTTAAATAATGTTATCTATTATGTTTCCATTCTTAAAGGCATTTATTGTGTATCTGGTCAGTCAAGTCAACAGTATTTATTGAGCATCTGCTTTGCACTTAATATTGAGTGAAGTGTAGGGGGATACAAAAAAAAATGTTTATGTCTTGGTTCCTAACCTTAGAGATCTTTTTATCTGGCTGAGAAGGCAATATTAACACAACCAAAGTAATTTATATGAAACTATATGGAAGAAATTCTGATTTGAGTAGTACTTCTATAAGTAAATGCTTAGTTCAGAGGAAGATGAGAGCAGTGGAGAGGAATCCTTCATTGGGAACTCAAACTAGTTAGGGTTTTAGATAGTTGAGGGAATGCCCTGAATAGAGACGCTATATTGTCTAGACTCTAGAGTGTTGAAGGGAACTGCCTTAAGTGCTCTGTTGAAAAGTTTATGCTTTATCCTAAAAGTAAAGTAAGCAAAATGAAGCTGGTGATTTAGGAAAGTTAATCTGGCAAGAGAATGAAGGAGAGATTTAAGAGGGGAGAAATTAGCAGCAAGGAAAGCATTCAGGAAACTTTCAATTATCTGGGCCTGAAATTATAAGCATCTTAACTGAGTAGGAATGAAAATTAATGAATGATATGAAAACAGGTCAAAAGAAAGATTTAGTGACTAGTGGAAAGATCTTGAAGATGATTGTAAGGTTAAGAGTTTGAAAACTTGGGGAAGTTGTTGTTCTGCTGTATGACATATGGAACCAGTTTTTTGGGGAAAATAAATTCTTCTTTTGAATAAGAGGATGTTAGAACATAGAGTTAGAATTTTCAATAAGCATTTATAAACAGGGACTGGAGATTAAATGACAGGGGAGATCTGATTATGTGGAGTTGGGAGTCATCCTTAGAGGGATCATTGGAACCTGAACTAGTACTGTCTTTCTTAAACACTAAGAGTAATTATGCCTAATGTCATTAATTTGTGCTCTAAATTCTCAGTGGCCCTAATTTGTGTAATTTTTGCAAACACAATTTACATCTTTATAACCATGTCTGTGTACTAACTAGTATAGCTCATTAAGCACATTTTGCCTTGATAAAGGTCAGTGATGCCAAATGAATTGTTCAACTAAAGCATTCTTTCTTTCATTAGGAAAATAACTGATTTCAGAAATGTATTTTAGAACTCTAAGTGTGTTCTTCCAGCATTCAGACTTACTTTCAAACTGAAATAACTCTCTTTTATGTGTGGTAGTTGGAGGAAATGTGGACTGGAAGCAGATAGCAAGTATTCAGGAATCCATTGGAGAAACCAGTTCTCAGAGTGTTGTTGTTGCTGTAGATAGGTAAGGTATTCACTTTATTCCCTTTTCAAATGAAACTGGTTTAATTCTGTAGCATTTAGATTTTTTGTGCACAGTAGTAAACAGAAAATTTTATTGCCAAAAAAATTTCGTTAAGTAATGTAAGACTGTATTGTAATATGATGTGATTTAAATGATGAAGCACATACTTTTGCATTTTAGGTTATAGAACAGGGGTGGGCAAACTTTTTGACTCGAGGGCCACAATGGGTTCTTAAACTGGACCAGAGGGCCGGAACAAAAGCATGGATGGAGTGTTTGTGTGAACTAATATAAATTCAAAGTAAACATCATTACATAAAAGAGTACGGTCTTTTTTTTCAATAGTTTTATTCATTTCAAACAGGCCGGATCCGGCCCGTGGGCCGTAGTTTGCCCACGACTGTTATAGAATATAGGAAAGAAACAGTATGATAATGTAAGTTTTAGTAGGTATTAGTGGGCATTAGGCAAATAGTAACCTTGATGAAAAAGAACACAAATGTTTGATTCCCTGTATAGAAAACATTCCCCTTATTATCCCTATTGGGAAACAGAGTGTACTTTCTCTTTCTGATAGAGGACTGCATTAGGGGTAAAATGAAGGGATTTGCTGGCAATTCTCATTATAAGCTTCTTTGGAAAGAACTTGGAAATTGGTATATTATAGACATTACCAGGTATTCCTCATTTTTAGTTTGTTTTCTAAAAGAAAAACCATACTCTGGTTTATTTTACTATGGGAATATTTAGTTTCAGATTTTTAAAATTTCTAGTATATAGAACATTTAGTGGTGTGGTGTTTTTTTTTTTAATATTAGTTTTTACCAGATGAATGCCCCCCAAATTGAAACTTAACATTTTACAAATCTGACATTTAAATTTTTTTTTTAAATATATTTTATTGATTTTTTACAGAGAGAAAGGGAGAGAGATAGAGAGTTAGAAACATCGATGAGAGAGAAACATCGATCAGCTGCCTCCTGCACATCTCCCATTGGGGATATGCCCGCAACCCAGGTACATGCCCTTGACTGGAATCGAACCTGGGACCCTTCAGTCCGCAGGCCGACGCTCTATCCACTGAGCCAAACCGGTTTCGGCTGACATTTAAATTTTTTTTTCTTTGCCACTTTTTATGGAAACTTTCAAAAATATAAATGTAATATGTACTGTTTGTTTGTTTGTTTGTTTTGGTGCTTTGAGACTCATGCTGATCCATTATTTTATTTTGCATCAGATAAAACTTTTTGCTCTACGTACAGACAGAACTAGAGTGTTCCAGGCTACTGACCCTGGAAGTACTCCCTGGAACTTTTATCCTTGAAAATAATTCTTAATGTCCACTTGCAATCTTTTTTGTTAGGGGAAGGAGGTTATTTGCATTTTTCTTGGGAAGGATGAAGAAAGATTGTGTATCATCTATACCGGAGGTTCTCAACCTGTGGGTCACGACCCCTTTGGGGGTCGAATGACCCTTTCACAGGGGTCGCCTAAGACCATCCGAAAACACATATATAATTACATATTGTTTTTGTGATTAATCACTATGCTTTAATTATGTTCAATTTGTAACAATGAAATTGGGGGTCACCACAACATGAGGAACTGTATTAAAGGGTCGCAGCATTAGGAAGGTTGAGAACCACTGATATACCCACTATATAATTAGAAGGTTTACCACATGGTTGGTATATTTCAAAGTGCTTTACCTGTATTATTAGTTTAATCCTTTAAGTAGCCTCATTAGATGAGTATTATTGTCCTCAATTTACAGATAAGGAGACGTGGGGAAATTAAATAACTTGCTCATTCCACAACCAGGCTAACTGGGTCTTCATTATTTTGATGACTGTTTCATTCATAGAGAGTTTTGGGGAATGGAGCCAAGACGTACAGTCAAGCAGTATATCTTGAGTGTGCACTCTAAACCTCTCTACCTGCATGTGCAACTTCAAAGCAGTGTAATGTCTGCCTTTCTGCTATCAGGGTAGCTTTTTTCCAAGTGGTTTTCTTGCTTTCCAGAAAATCACCTTCACTGTCATTATGGGAATCTCTTCAGGCAAGAGTCAACATTTTACCTACTATTTCTGTTTCCATAATATACTTTATATGAGCATACCTCATTATGATTTATTCAACTATCCATTGTTTGTTATAGGTAGACATGTCACTCATTTGAACAGATAATATGCTTGTCTGTTTTAATAATTTATACTGTTTCACAGGTATCCTAGCAAAAGTACTATTAGTACTTTGTCCTCTCAAACTCATCATCACCAAAGTCTTCTGCAAACATAAAATCAATGTCCAATTTTATATAAAAACTCAGTATTTAAATTTTAGCTTATAATGAAAACAAAAGCTACATCTTTGATATATTATAAGATTATATTATTCTTGTGTGGTGCATTTCATTTTTTCATTACATTTCTTCTGAATTTCTTCTCAGATATCTGAGGTTATATTCATATGTAATATTTGGACTCTAGTCTATAAGCTAACTGAGATTGCCCTGGAATTCAAGACAGTGGTGAAATATTATCAGGTATCATCCTTGAAAACTGTACTTATCCAGCAAAAACAGTCATTTTCCTACTCTTAGGCCTATTGTTCTGAAAAATCTCTTCTGACAAGTATAGGACCTAAAAATGAAAATAAAAATAATAATTCTTTGCTTAATTATTTATAGCTTCTGTATCTTAACAGAAAAATTGCTGATTCTATTAAAAACCTTCAAGTTTTTAATGATAATATATCCTAATTATCTCTACTTTTGTAGTCTTAGGAATCCATTAGAATTTAGGAGAATATTGTGCACTTTAATATGGAGTACCTGATCCTCTAGGATTTTCTAGGGTAGAATTTGCTAGCCATTGCTAAACTAGACCAATTTTATAGGTATCCTAAACTATGCAGGAATGGATTTTTGTCCCAGAATGGTTTATCTCTAAAAGTTAAAAAAAAAACACACAGTTAATTAATACCATGGTTTTTGAAGCACATCAGATCTAGCTTTGTAAAACTGGCTCATCTCATACTTTGAAACATTGTCACTGTTCAGAAAATATATACAGCTCATCCCCCACTTCATTTGCTCAAAAATATCTTTCAGGTAGATAAAAGAAATAAATGTTACCTCAGATATTTCACTGTGAAAACTTTTTACATATATAGTAATTTACTTAGCCTGTGTGTTACATACAGCTTAATGTTTTTTAAATCTTGAATCTGCAAGTTTGGTCAATCTTTTTTTTTTTTTTTGGCATTGCTGTATTACTATCATGATATGGATGAATCAGTAATATATCAAATTTATTTTTCTACTCACACCTCCGGACATGTCTTTTAATATTAGCACACAAGATCCTCATACTACTGTCCTTTGCTTTTCCTACAGGGACTTTAGAATCTATTTCATAGGCTGATTTTATGAAACAGCTTTTTTTCTCCTGCCTTAGTATATTAAGGCTTAATTTTAAATGCCTCCACAGACCACTGTGCTTCTATCACTTACGTTTAGCGAAGCATTACTAGAAATAGGGCACCTCTCAGAGGCTACCAAAGTGAGTAGGCATCTGAATGCGCTTTCCCAGAATGCATGCTTCCACTGCCTTCCATCATCACCTGGGTCTACAGGACCCATCTAATTGCTGCTGCAACCCCTCTGTGGCCTTTGTTCTCCATTATTTCACTGCATTCAGAGTTGCATATATCCCCTCTAGTTATATATAATCTCCATTTCTGTTTCTATTCTTTACCCCTTCAACTTTGGCCACTTGCCTCTTTCTCAGTTAAACATTTTTTGTTGTTGTTTCATTTGTTTCTCCTATACTATTTAGTTTTGACTCTGGTTTTGGTGTGGGTTGTTATTTTGTTTTGTTTTTTTACATTGCTCCTTGGGGATACCTGTAGTTTGATAAATTGGCTAATTGACACATATAATGCATAGTCTAGCAATTTTCATTGTTTGTTCATGTGAAAGCTTTGTATATGTTAATATCTGGATCCAGTCAAATCACTGAATTCAGTGGGGCCCTATTACTCTTATATTTTCTCCCAGATTGTGTTTTTAGCCAGATCTTTGAATTATTTTGTTCTCTTGAGAAGAGCAGTATGGGAAATCTCAAGGTATTCCTTTAGCAGGAGGTCAGATTCTGAGTTATCGTGTTATTAGTTTCTAAGTAGTTTTTCCAGTCTTGTTTTTGTTACTCATTGCCAGAAACACATAGGTAGGCATTCAAGGGCACTAAGATTAAAGCAATATGATATTGTTTTAATCTTAAAAATAATATACTCAGAACATTTATATTATGGATGCAGGAAAAAACTAGAATATATTTAAAATGTTTAAATTACGTTTTGCTCAAGTAAGTGTGGGGCAATGTAGCTCCGTGGTTAAGAAGGTGGCCTCTGGCCCTGACCGGTTTGGCTCAGTGGACAGAACGTCGGCCTGAGGACTCAAGGGTTCCAGGTTCGATTCCGGTCAAGGGCATGCACTTTGGTTGCGGGTACATCCCCAGCAGGAGGTGTGCAGGAGGCAGCTGATCGATGTTTCTCTCTCATCGATGTTTCTAACTCTCTATCCCTCTCTCTTCCTCTCTGTAAAAAATCAATAAAATATATTTTAAAAAAAAGAAAAAAAAAGAAGGTGGCCTCTGGAGTCAGGCTGTCCTGGTTTGAATCTTGGCTCTAACACTTACTAGTTTTAATACTTTTAGGAAATTTCCATAAAATTGAGAGTATAATGGTACCTATTTCCCAGGATATTGGTTATTATTTTGAATGGATATATTAAGCAGTCAGGATAATACCCACCTTGTGATTATTGGTAGCTGTTACTGTTATGATTACTTTTATTTCTAAGTTTAATATTTGATCTGCTCCTGCCTTTAAGTTTTCTTCTTTACCATGCAGATCTTATGGTGTTTATTTTAAATTGAGGAATATCATTTCATTCTGGAAGTCATATTCAAACCCTTGGTTATAAACCCACTGAGTGCATAGATAAAAATGCAGACATTAAAAAAGAGGACTAATATGTTTATGCTGAAGTCTTTTATGAAACTTTGAAACACAGAAACAGAACTCAGTGAAGAAGTCTGGGCAAAGCTGGACAGCATAGCTTAACACTAAGTATTTGAATGCCCTAAGAAAAGTCAGTCAGCTACTTCTTGGTTAAACTGATGGAGACTATTTGTAAGGTTCTGTTAAATCGATTGTAACGTAACATAAATGAATTTTCTAATCAAACATACATTACTTGTAGAAATTAAGTAGAATTTTTCATTTTAAAACTTTCTTAATGTTATAGATAATCAGGAAAAGATTAAAAAATTTTTTGTTTTATAGTGTACCAATTATTAGTTTTACAAATTAATATTTTTCTTTTTCTGAGTCTCATAAAATAACTAGTTTTTGTAAATTTACTAATAAAATTAGAACCATATATTCTTTAATATATTACTGAATGAAAAGGTTAGAGGGAGGAACATCAAATTATAGTTTTTAAAGTATAGGATAATAAAAATTTTCATTTGACTACCTGATTTCTTTAGTTCCTTTCAAACAGATAAAGGTAGCCACATTTGAATTGATGTAATAATAGATGTGAGACTATACATGTTTTTTTCAGGCTATACATTTTTTAATCATGGGGTTGTTCTGTTCCTTTAGAATATTTACAGGGTCTACAAGGCTAGATGGAAATGCTATTGGTAAGTATGTATATTTATTTCACTTATAAACTGGTTGTTTGGCTAAAACACTTGAACATTAAGCTAAAAAATTGTAAATCTATTTATATTATAGTGGATTTTGTCCGTTGGCTCTGTGCTGTGTCTATGGATGAATTACTTTCCACTACACATCCAAGAATGTTTAGTCTACAAAAAATAGTAGAAATATCATATTACAACATGGGAAGAATAAGATTGCAATGGTCTCGAATTTGGGAAGTTATTGGAGATCATTTTAATAAGGTATTTAAATAATTATAGGATTTGCTTACATTTATGTTATTTTTCATTGTGTAAAATTTCCTTATCATAATCTAATTGAGAATTTTTCTTTCCAAGCAATTTTTTTAAGATTAAATTTGGAAAACCCTTTGAGTTCTGTTTTTTCTTTAGCTCTAGGTTTTAAGGATTTAGTTAAAATAATGTTTTTCTTATTGAGAAATATTATTAGCAATTAGTGCTTTTATAAAGAATCTTAGGATTTACTTACATACATTATTAATGATACACTATTTTTAAAATAAAAATAGAAAATTATATTTTCACCGCTGACATTAGCACCCTGTATTTCTGTTGCCATTGCAGGTTGGCTGTAATCCTAATGAAGACGTAGCTATTTTTGCAGTAGACTCCTTGAGACAATTGTCAATGAAGTTCTTAGAGAAAGGGGAGCTTGCTAATTTCAGATTCCAGAAGGATTTCTTAAGACCTTTTGAACATATAATGAAACGGAACAGGTATTATATTTGTTGAATTGCTTAATATCAAAAAATACTTTATTATTTTTCAGTGCAGGGAGAAAAACAGAAAAAGGGAAAGAAAACTGATGTTTTATCTATATGCTTATTCAAGAAATTAAATTAATATTTTAGGTCTCCAACCATTCGAGATATGGTTGTGCGATGTATAGCACAGATGGTGAATTCTCAAGCTGCTAACATTCGGTCTGGATGGAAGAACATTTTCTCTGTATTTCATCTAGCTGCATCTGATCAAGATGAAAGCATAGTGGAACTTGCATTCCAAACAACAGGGCACATTGTCAGTGAGTATTTCTTTTAACTGTGTTTAAGTTAAAAGAAAAAAAAAAAGGAATGAATGAATGAAACTATAATCTGTTCAGAAGATAATTCAAGTATATAAGGTTGTAGGTCTATTATGGTTTTCAAGTTTTGCCTACATAGCAGAGTAAATGATGAATATATTATTATAGTTAACGTTTATTGGACATTTACTATATGACAAGCCCTGTAAGTACTTTGCATGTATTTTCTTCAGTCTTCACAACTATGAGATAAGTATCTTTAATGTCACCCCTCTTTAATACATAGATGGGGAAACTCGGGCCCAGTGAGGTTAAGTAACTTTCCTAAGGGCACAGAACTAGTGATAGAGCTGATATTCAAAGCTAGGGAGCCTTAAGACAAAGTCTTTGTTTATACCCACTACACTTTGAGGGAGAATAAAATATTAAAAATATAAGTTATACCTATCTGGAAGATTATAATGATGACCAACATCAACATCAAGAATAATGACATTATCATAGTTATTATTTGAGTGCCTTATTTGAATTAAGCATTTTTACTTACATTATTTTATTTTAGTGCTTACAACTATCCTGTGGATATTGTAATTCTCATTTTATAGATTAAGAAACTGAGATAAAGAGAGATTAAACATAATTTTGTATACTCACCCAACAACTGTTGATATAGTACCTGCTGTGTACCAGGTTGATGTATTTTTTGATGCAATTCAGAATAATTGACATTATAATTACTTTGATACATTTTTCCCTCTTTTTAGCTCTTGTGTTTGAAAAACACTTTCCAGCGACCATTGATTCCTTCCAGGATGCAGTGAAGTGTTTGTCTGAGTTTGCCTGCAATGCAGCTTTCCCAGACACAAGTATGGAAGCAATCCGACTTATTCGCCATTGTGCAAAATACGTGTCTGACAGACCGCAGGTGCAGTGTCGTTTTGTAAACAAAATTTCACTGACTATTTATTCCCAGTCTGAGATCTACATTTACCGGAAATTAAGAGGATATGAAGCGTTATTTTTCAGTAAACCCAAAAATTATCTGAGCTTGATTCTGAGCCATAATGGGCAGTCCTTGATAGCTAACGCTAATTGAAAGCATCAGAGTGTTTCACCCGTATTAACTTGTTTCGTCTTCATAAAAATTACAGTCCCATGCAGATAGGAAATCTGTGGCACAGAGAAGTTAAAGAATGTGTCTGTGATTGCAGGGCTAGTTAAGGAGACAGAGTTCGAACCCAAGCCTGTGTTTTTAACCATTCCTGTGCTGCTTTTTGCCTGTTGTGTTTCATCTGCAGTACTGAAGTTGACTGTGGGCTTCAGCACTGGAGTAAAAGGTTGAGTTGGCAACCTGCCTGCCAACTTTAACTCACATATTTGAGTCTCTCTTTATAACCACCATAAGGAGAAGTGATACATCATAGATTTAGTAATAAGATTTTTACTGCATATTGACATGGACCTATGGGGTGCTTATACTTTTTTTTTTTTTTTTTAATTAAATCTTTATTGTTCAGATTATTACATTTGTTCCTCTTTTTTCCCCCCATAACTCCCCTCCTCCCAGTTCCCGCTCCACCCTCCGCCCTCACTCCCCACCCACTGTCCTCATCCATAGGTGCACGATTTTTGTCCAGTCTCTTCCCGCATCTCCCACACCCCTTTCCCCCCCAGGAATAGTCAGTCCATTCCCTTTCTATGTCCCTGATTCTATTATAATCACCAGTTCATTCTGTTCATCAGATTATTTATTCACTTGATTCTTAGATGCACTTGTTGATAGATGCATATTTGTTGTTCATAATTTGTATCTTTACCTTTTTCTTCCTCTTCCTCTTCTTAAAGGATACCTTTCAGCATTTCATATAATACTGGTTTGGTGGTGATGAACTCCTTTAGCTTTTCCTTATCTGTGAAGCTCTTTATCTGACCTTCAATTCTGAATGATAGCTTTGCTGGATAAAGTAATCTTGGTTGTAGGTTCTTGGTATTCATCACTTTGAATATTTCTTGCCACTCCCTTCTGGCCTGCAAAGTTTCTGTTGAGAAATCAGCTGACAGTCGTATGGGTATTCCCTTGTAGGTAACTGAGTTTCTTTCTCTTGCTGTTTTTAAGATTCTCTCTTTATCTTTTGCTCTTGGCATTTTAATGATGATGTGTCTTGGTGTGGTCCTCTTTGGATTCCTTTTGTTTGGGGTTCTCCGAGCTTCTTGGACCTGTAAGTCCATTTCTTTCACCAGGTGGGGGAAGTTTTCTGTCATTATTTCTTCAAATAGGTTTTCAATATCTTGTTCTCTCTCATCTTCTGGCACCCCTATAATTCTGATGTTGGTACGCTTGAAGCTGTCCCAGAGGCTCCTTACACTATCCTCGCATTTTTGGATTCTTTTTTCATTTTGCTTTTCCGGTTGGGTGTTTTTTGCTTCCTCGCATTTCAAATCATTGACTTGATTCTTGCGCTCCTCTGGTCTGCTGTCGGGAGTCTGTATAATATTCGTTATTTCAGTCCGTGTATGCTTAATTTCTAGTTGGTTCCCCAATATAAGATCGAGGGTCTCATTAGATTTCTTGAGGATCTCACTACATTTATCGGCGGCTTCTAGACAGTTCTTAAGAGACCTTAAAAGTGTGGTTCTGAACTCTATATCTTCCATTGACAATTTTGTCCTGTTTCTTTGTCTCCACATTTTGTTATGCTTCCTTGGTGCACCTCCTAGTGGTCTTTGTTTGCAGTCTTATAGTTAAATCTTGATTGTTGTAGCTAATTCCAGGGAGGGTTTGACCTCTAGGCCAAGTGGCTATGAGAATCAGCTGTGTCAGTAGTGAGAGAACTTCTGTCCTCTAGGGAGGTGCTAATCTAGCCTTTGCCTGAGGCTATCCGGCAAATGCCTGTGTGCAGGGCTTGGGCGGGGCGGGTAGAACAGGATCAACAGGGTGGGCAGGAGAGAGCAGTTATGGCGGCTCTCAGTCCTGTCCCCAGGGGCTCTGCCTCTCTGAGTCCCAGCACCCGCTGCAAAGCTCAGAGAGAAAGCTGCACTCGCTCTGACCGAAGCCAGACAGTCCCGCTTCTCCCGTTTGAGTCTGGGTCCCTAAAGACTCGCCCGGATCTGGAGCTCAGAGTCTGCGACTCCCTCCCGATTGAAAACGCCAACCGCGCACTCCGCACCTCAGAATTTGACTTCAGCACTGCGCCTCCTCTGAGTGTCCGTATTCGTTTCTCTTTCCTCCTAGTTGTAGGACTTCCACTCAGCCAGCGTTCCTGTGGTTCTGGGTGATGTCCCTTCCGTTTTTTGGTTTCACTTTTGAAGTAGTTGTTCAAAGCAGCAAACTCCGGCGTTAACCTATGCCGCCATCTTGGTTCTCCAACCTATCATTCAAGGGGTGCTTATACTTTTTACCTAAACATGCATTGACTCATTTGACCTCACATTTCCCCAATGTGGTTAGTGTGGCTACATGGTGTCATAACCATTCAAATGGTAAAAATGAAAACCTGATTTAACCTGGTTAAGAATGCAGAAATCTGGTGTCAGAGTTGAAACTGAAACCAACTTTTGGGTTCTGGTCCAGTCCTCTTTATAGAACTGCCCATTATAATCGCCATCATTTTTATAAATTATTGTGTTTTATCAAATTGTTCACTTTGATTTGTAAAGCATTTTTTAAAGTTTTAGAGAAATGTGCTTAATGTAGGCATTATGTTTTGCCTTTAATAACCCTACCTTTCTTCTTGAAGGCTTTTAAGGAATACACAAGCGACGATATGAATGTGGCGCCTGAAGACAGGGTGTGGGTGAGAGGATGGTTCCCCATCCTCTTTGAGTTATCCTGTATCATCAATAGATGCAAATTAGATGTAAGAACCAGGTAACAATCAGTATTTGTAATTAACATTTTGTAAGGCTTATTGTAACTTAAATTAACTTTCCTTATGTGAACACAAAGTTTAGTAGTGAAAGGCCATAAATCATGTGTTATATCAAATACTAGAGGCCTGGTGCACGAATTGGGTAGGGTCCCTAGGCTTGGCCAGCGATCAGGATCGATGGGGGCCTTCCAGCTGCTTGCCGGGGTCCCCTGGTGGTCAGCACATGTCATAGAGAGTGAGCGATCTCCCGGTCAGTCAAACTCCTGAGGAGACACTTTGCATATTAGACTTTTATATATGTAGATAACAATTATTAGATAGGCAGATTTAAAAATATGTTAAGCTATAGCAGTGTTAAAAAATGGAAATATATTACTTTTCCTCAAAATTTAAATATAGCCTACTAAATTTAAATATAATCTACTTTGTGTTTTAGCTTCTATGTTAATATAATACTTTACACATTCTGTTTTTTTTTCATACATTTGTTTCCAATTAAAAATAGAAGTTAGTGGCAAATTTATTTCCTAAAGAATGATGGAAGAATTCTCAAATGCGCATCCTTGATGCATTTTAGGTAAAGAACTTTTTCTCTGAAGACTGGTCAGTAATATAGTTTTGAATAACATAGGTCTATTAAAAAAGAATTGAAGCCGAAACCGGTTTGGCTCAGTGGATAGAGTGTCGGCCTGTGGACTGAGGGGTCCCAGGTTCGATTCCGGTCAAGGGCATGTACCTGGGTTGCGGGCACATCCCCAGTGGGAGATGTGCAGGAGGTGGCTGATCGATATTTCTCTCCCATCGATGTTTCTAACTCTCTATCTCTCTCCCTTTCTCTCTGTAAAAAATCAGTAAAATATATTTAAAAAAAAAAAAAAGAATTGAACTCTTTCCAAAGTATATTCTCAATAAAAGATCTATATGAGCATATAACAAATTTGTAAAGAAATTATTTTGGATATGATGTAACCAGACAAGCGCTCAGTATACACTTCTCATGTTACAGCTCAGATCAGTCCCATAAGATAATTTTTCTCACTCTGTATTTGTGGCTTTGAAATTGAAATGGCCAACTTGTATTACAGTATCTGTCAAAAGTGCTTGAGTGTATCATGAGTTCAGTTTCATGTTAAAATCCCTCATTGAATTATGCCATCTTTTTAGGAGAATCATTCGTCATTTGGACAGTTCACTGAACATTTTAAAACCAGAAACATGTTCAGACTTATAATAAATCAATGATAGAAATGTAATGAAAGAATGAATATTTCCTCCCCTTATGCCAGAATACCCCATTGCCACCCCCATACAAGGTTAAGTTTGATTTATTTCCTAAGAAACTTCACTTTTATAGTATTTGTAATAACAAAATAAAATTATGATATAGGTAAGTTATCCAAAGTAGAACTCAAACTTTGACTCAACCTTGGGAGTTTCTCAGAGTGTAGTAGTCACAAGAACAGTGTATAACATTTTATCTTGACAAGGGACCTGCCTGCTTTCTTAGCCTCTTAGCCTGTTCTTGTCTGGGACCACACTGATTTACTTCTCACCATATTTATATTCCGATTACAGATGGGTTCTGGTTATTAAAGGGAAGAGAAAGTATGTGTTCTAGTTAGTAAAAGAGATAAAATATGAGTAAACTCTTCCATGATGGCTTTCATTTTCTTACCTCACCCTAGGATCTGTAGGGCTGTTATTTAGATTATACGTAAAAATGTAACGCTGTCATTTATTTATTTATTTATTTATTAAATATATTTTATTGATTTTTTTACAGAGAGGAAGGGAGAGGGTTAGAGAGTTAGAAACATTGATGAGAGAGAAACATCGATCAGCTGCCTCCCACACACTCCCCACTGGGGATGTGCCTGCAACCAAGGTACATGCCCTTGACCGGAATCAAACCTGGAACCCTTCAGTCCACAGGCCAACGCTCTATCCACTGAGCCAAACCAGTCAGGGCCGCTGTTATTTATAACACACTGATCATAAAATACTTTCACCTGCGTTCTCATTTGACTCCCTCAGAATTTTGTAGATTTATGGTTAAATAATTAACCTAGAGCCCCAAATATTCCTTTTCCCTACACTAGCAACTGAAGTATTGTTTTAAAAAAGACCTCTTCGACAGTAAAAAATTCTTGGAAACCTCTGTAGATCTGTGTTTGCTTTGGGGGCCTAGAAAAAACAGGTTTCCCACATTCCCTTCTCCCCAGACATGGGAGTTAGCATCCAGTTACTTAGCAAGAGAGGAAATGGATTTGGAGCTCATGGGATGGAGGAAGAGGGAGCCCTTTTCCATTGTGGAGGGAAATGTGGACTAGCTTCTTTACTTCCACTCATTACACAGTAGGTATCTTATGAATCAGATAAACTTACGAACTTGCTGTAAGGCAAACTGTCATAATGTTATTTTTACACATTCATTTAACAAATACTTATTTTGAGCTTAATTTGAAACAGGCATGAACTAGACTTGAGGGAAGCATAGCAACAAATAAGCTAGACTATGTGTCGTCTTTATGGAGCCTTTCAAAGAAAATTTTGTTCTGGCTTACCATCAGACTTACTGGAAATATAAACCTTTTTAAATCGAAGGATACCTATATTTTGCTATAAGAAAGTAACAGAGGAAACATCAAGCTTTTTAACAGCTACATGAATGGTTTTTTTGTTTCCTTTTGTTTTTTGTTAACCCTCATCTGAGGATATTTTTTCCATTGATTTTTAGAGAGAGAGTGGAAGGAAGAGAGGGAGAGAGGAAGGAGAGAGAAACATCGATGTTGCCTCCCACACTCTCCAACTGGGGTCAGGGAGGGAACCTGCATGCAACACAGGTACGTGCCCTTGACTGGGAATCAACCCTTTGACCCTTAGGTTCCTGGGATGATGCTCTAACCACTTACCACACCAGTCAGTTTTTTAAATTGAATTTATTGGGGCGACACTGGTTAACAAAATTATATGGGTTTCAGATGCATAATTCTACAACACATCATCTGTACTCTGTTGTGTGTTCACTACCCCAAGTCAAGTCTCTCCATCAACCTTTACCTGCCGCTCCCCCTCCCCCTACCGTTCACCCTCCTCTAGTCTTGATGAGGATAATCAGGAAGACAATTTTGAATTTTAGGTTTAACATTTATTCAAAGAAAGTGATACTAAGCACTTTATTTGTTCAACAAGTACTCACCATGTGCCTCCTAAAACAGGGGTGGGCAAACTTTTTGACTGGAGGGCCACAATGGGTTCTTAAACTGGACCGGAGGGCCGGAACAAAAGCATGGATGGAGTGTTTGTGTGAACTAATATAAATTCAGAGTAAACATCATTACATAAAAGGGTACGGTCTTTTTTTTCAATAGTTTTATTCATTTCAAACGGGCCGGATCCGGCCCGCGGGCCATAGTTTGCCCACGGCTGTCCTAGATGCTCTGTGCCTGGGATGGAGCAGAAAACAGACCTGCCCAAATGGACATCTTGTGGATTAGCTTTACAAATTCTTTGTTTGAAGATATTATATGAACAATTATAGCATTCTCTAAAAACTCCTATAGCTCTTTGAAAAAGATTTTCTAAAATCTATTTTTTGTTCTTAGACTGTTAATTGATATATTTTCTTCCTTGGTCACAGTGCCACAAAATTAATATTCATTAATAAGATGGTCTGTATCCATCTGTAATTTCATTTACTATTTTTAAATGCTGAATGATGGGGTGGGAATGGAGGAAAATTAAAATAAAGAAAAATTTGAAATGTTTTCCTAAATGCATTCTAAAGAAAGCTGGATGTATAACAAGGTAAAAACCAGTTTTAAACTTTGTTTTCTGTAGCTTTGTGAACTGTTAACAGTTATAGGAGGGAGATTCTGATGTGCAGTGCTTTTTTGGTGTTATAGTTTTACTAATTACATTATATCACTTTAGGGGCTTAACAGTAATGTTTGAAATAATGAAAACTTACGGTCACACTTATGAAAAACACTGGTGGCAGGATTTATTTAGAATTGTGTTCAGAATCTTTGACAACATGAAATTGCCAGAACAGCAGACAGAGGTAAGACATGAAATGTTCATTTAATATAGTTAAGTCAAGAGGCTCTTAATATTTTTCTTAATACATTTTAATATTTCATATTAAGCATATTGGACAGAAAAAAATTCCTAGAGAAATTTTCCTTAAGGCGTTACAATAAATTGTATGCCTTTATAAACAAGAACACTATTTGGGGATAGAGCCGAGTTAATGAACTGGTGGGATTTTTTGTTGTTTTTTTATGTTTTTGTTGAACTTCCAGTTTCTTTTCCTCATTTTACTATTGTCACAACTATAAACACCAGTAGCTTTCTTTAGTATTCATAGGGACTTCTTATTCTGAATTACTAAAGACTACATGGTAATAAATAGACATATGTATGCACTACCACAAAACTGTGTTTGAAAGCTGTCAGTTCAGGTTAGTCCATTATGCATTTGAGAAAAACACTTACTTTATATGGCCCTATTTGTCTTTTAGAGTGTTTTTAAATGACTGTACTTCATGAAAGTCAGTTTAATTTAAAAGATATACTGATCCCACTTGGATAAATTCTTACCCTTTTCTTTCTCTTTATTTCTCTTTCAAGTTCGGTCATATGCTGGAGCAAGGCCTGCTGTTTATTCATGCATATTGTTTGAAAAGTCATAATGCTAATAGCAAGAAAATGCAGTGATAGTTCTTCACAATCAAAGAAAACAGTACAAAAAATAGTTAAATTATTTTATACATAGGTGTTATGGGCTAATGGAGAAAAATAGATAGCAGATATTAAGTGAGGTGAATGTAATGTTCTGGAGGGAAGTAAAAGTCTGAAAGGAACAGGGATAGGATTACATTTTACACGTTCAAACATATCTCTTTTTCAATTCTAGTAGTTGATGAATGGTCTGACTTTCTCTCCTGCCCCCCCCGCAGAAAGCTGAATGGATGACAACGACCTGTAATCATGCCCTTTATGCCATCTGTGACGTGTTCACCCAGTATTTAGAAGTGCTCAGTGATGTGCTTTTGGATGATATTTTTGCCCAGCTGTACTGGTGTGTGCAGCAAGGTATGTCTGTGCCAGATAGTGACACAAAGTGTTTGTTAAATTGGACCCTGGTAATATACAAATGATTTGCTCTTTTCTTTTCTAGACAATGAGCAGTTAGCACGATCTGGTACAAACTGCTTAGAGAATGTTGTTATCCTGAATGGGGAAAAATTTACCCTAGAAATCTGGGATAAAACTTGTAACTGCACACTGGATATCTTCAAAACTACAATCCCACATGCGTAAGATGATTTTATACAACTTTATATTTTGAATGATGGACATAAAAGTTTGATAGTAACTAGTGATTTCTCATAACAGAATCCTTTTTCAAACATCTCATTGTTCCTTGAATTTGTATTTATTACAAATCAAACTCCTATAATCCATAACAAATACATAAATTAAATTCTTTATAAACCAAAACCTTCAGTCTGATCATCCAAAATTGGGGTCATAATGAAGTGATTCCACTTTTATAAGGGTTTATTTATCCAGACTAAACCAAGCCATGGTCTTGAATTAAAACAACAATAACATATATTTCAATTATTGTAGATTTAATAATCTTAGGAAGATTTATTTGCACCTATCACATTTTACAGTTAATTTTCATCATTTGGCATTGAATTGTAGTGAAGGAGTTTTTATCAACGGGAAACTAAGATAGAGCCTGCCTAGTGACTGATGCCTCCTGGACGTTTTGCAGGACAGACTTGGAACTTACTTCCCAGTACCTCAGGGCCCTTTGACATGCCCCAGATCTTCACCTTACATCTACGATATGTAAATCTACTTAATTAGATGTTTTAAATGTTACCTAAAACATCTTACTAAGTAGATGTATGTGAATGCACTGGCATAAAACTATACACAAAAACTATCAGTCCACGTTTTTAAGCATCATAAACTTTTTCTTGACATGAATTAAATGTGTTTGTACTGGTATGATCTCCTGGTAAATATCCTCATCACTAGGAAATACAAAGTCAAACAAGAGGAACACACCCTTAGGAAAGATCAGGGTAGGATTACACCAAAAGGACACACATTAATTTCCTTGGCCTATTTATAATTACTTGACAGTTCTTACTTTTTGGTGCACATTTTGTTGGATCAGTGTAACTGACAAATGATAGATTTTTGTCATAGTTTATCTGTGGCCGCTATTGTATGAATTATTTCTTAGCTGTTGTCCCTGTGAAGTCTTTAGAACAACCAGTTGGGCTGAATTTTTTTTAAAATTTTTAAAATATGTTTTTATTGGTGTGTTTTTTTAAGAGAGAGAGGAAGGGAGAAGGATAGAGAGATAGAAGCATGATGAGAGAGAAACACTGATCGGCTGCCTCCTGCATGCCCCACACAGGGGATCTAGCCTGCAACCCAGACATGTACCCTGACCAGGAATTGAACCAGTGACCTCTTGGTTTACAGGTCGATGCTCAACCACTGAGCACACCAGCCAGGCTGAATTGCTTTTTTAAAGAACTGCTTCTGCTTTAATTCATTGAATGTATACATTCTAGATATAAGATACATGATCTTAAAGATCATCTAATAGCATCTCTTACTAGCAAGTATCTGTACCAGAGTTCTCTCCATATTGAACTGAAGTGATGTATTTACTGCCTGTCTGCCCCATTTCCCAGGAATTCTTGCTTCTCAAAGAAAAACATAGGTCTTAATCATCTTTCTGTCCCAAGCAGCTAATCAACTTAGTGTCCTCTTTGGGGCCAAATTTTATTTTATTTATTTTTATACATTAAAAAAATAGAATCTAAAAATGTTTATGAATTTTTTTGAAACAGCTTCAACTTTTTTTAAATCTCACTTTGAACAATACTTAATGACCCTTAATACTTAGAAAAACTGAGTTTAAAGTTCTAAAACTGATGACCCGAGTACTCTCAATTATATTAACTGCTAATTGTTTTTCTGGAAGTATATATTTTTAATTTCTCACTAGATTTTTTTTTCTTCAGCAAATTGCTCTTAACAGTAGTCACAGAAGGAATATGTTGTTTTTGGTATATTCATGTGACTTTTATGTGCCCATTTCAAAATACGTTGGATGCGACATGTTTTACACTGTGATTGACTGGTGTGATTTTGGTATTTTAAAGGCTTTTGACGTGGCGTCCCACTTCCGGAGAAACTGTCCCCCTACCTTCCTCTCCTGTGAGTGAAAAACAGTTGGTAAGTTCTAATAAATAAAGCATATTTTAAATTATTTGTGATAAGTAATTTTACTGTGGACCAAATTCTTTTGTATGACCCCAGTTCTTTTAAAAAGAAGGCATAAATCTACTGTCCAGATTCTCAGGTTAAATTTCATGATAGTCAATTTCCCAACTAGCTAAAATTTATCTCTGTAAGTACCATGCAGGCAGTATTTTAAATATTTTATTATAAGATGAGACATAGAGTAAAATGACTTCAAGAGTTGTAAGAGGCAGGCACCAGATAATGCATGGATTTCCATGCCAAGCTGAAGCTATTATTGGATATTGCATTTAAACTTAATTTTGATATAATTTGACCCTAAAGAAAAGTGACAAAACTGGTACAAAGAATTCTGATATACCCTTCATCCGTATTTATTTGCCTAGGACTGATATAACAAATTACCACACACTTAAGTGGCTTAAAACAACAAAAATTTATTCTCTCATAGTCCTGGAGGCAAAAAGTCCAAAATCCAGGCATCCACAGAGTAAACTCCCTTCAAAGCCTTTGAGGGAGAATCCTTTATGCTTCTCTCAGCTTCCATGGGTGCTGGCAACCCTTGGCATTCCTTGGCTTGTATGCACATCACTGCAGTTCTCCCAGCAGCTTTTTGAACCAGGTTTGGTACATGTTATCCCTGCTTCACACTAGTACAGAGCAATGAATAAAGGGTCACGCTGCGGGTCATAACGTAAGTCCAAGTTAAAATACTATTGTGATTAGCTCTGTTTTGGGGAACACAGGCCCCTGTGCTCCTTTCAGAAACCCAGGTGAGGCTGCTTCTGGCTGTGACTCTTCGGACAGAAGGCTCCGGCCTCTTAAGACACAGTCTGACTCGCTGAGGGCATTGTATTGCTGTCACTACATCTATTGTCTGACACTGTACTGGTGCTTTGCACTTATTGTCAAATCCATAGATAATAACCCACATGGGAAGTAATCAGAAAACCTGTCTGGGAAGATTCATTGCTTTTTCAACGTTACACTTAGTGATTCTGGGGCGAAATCCAGTATAGCTCTGTTGGACTTGAACGTTCAGCTTCTCTTCATGACACTGCACTCCTACTTGGTCCCCTCCTCACTGACCTCTGGTTGTGGGTTCCTTGGATGACAGAACATCCTTCCCTAAAACTCACCCTTAAAAAGCTTCCCTGAGCTCAACCTGCACAGAGCTTGCAGGAGTCTGTGTAGATTCCATGACAGTTCGTGGGTCTTGTTGACTACTTTTCCCCCACAGTGAACTTAGCATTTTTATCTCTTGCTTTTGGGTAGTGTCAGGCCTAAGCCTGGCAGTCAGAAGGGAAGCTTTTCGCTTAAAGACTATTGGCTCTGTCAGTGGATAGGTAATTTTAAATAATTTTCTCTCATTGCATCTGTAATTGCAATGTGTAGAATGTCATTTTCATAGGGACACAGTCTATTTTTTTAAAAAAAAAACAACAACACAGCATAATGGAAACTATTTTTATTTTCTTTTATTGATTAAGGTATTACATATGTGTCCTTATCCCTCCATTGCCCCCCACCCAACTCCCGTTCATGCCCTCACCCCCCTGGTGTCTGTGTCCATTGTTTAGGCTTATATGCATGCATACAAGTCCTTTGGTTGATCTCTCCCCCTTACCCCCACCCTCCCCTACCTTCCCTCTGAGGTTTGAGCATCTGATCGATGCTTCTCTGTCTCTGGATCTGTTTTTGTTCATCAGTTTATGTTGTTCATTGTAATCCGCAAATGAGTGAGCTCATGTGATACTTATCTTTCTCTGACTGACTTACTTCACTTAGCGTGATGCTCTCCAGCTCCATCCATGCTGTTTTTATTCTTAAGCTTTATTCACTGTACTTATAATGAATTTTTTTTTGTTAGGATACAATATCACAGAAATCTGTAGATATCCATGATTCTATTCAACCAAGATCTGCAGATAATAGACAGCAAGCAACATTGGCTTCTGTCTCTACAGTGAATGAAGAAGCCAACAAAATTAAACCTTCAGCAAGTGAGTTATTTATACTCTTAGTAAAACTAAATTGTGTGTTTTGTTTGATGTAGGAAAGGGATGAAATTCGCTTGTACTTTTATTACTAACAAATACACTGTAACTGATTGTATAGTCACTTCATTACTATGTTCGCTCCAACCTGAACCTCCCAGGATAGATAGGTAGATACTCCCTTGAGTAGGATCAGGAACTCTGCTAACACCTGCCATACCAGCTAGTGTTTGTGTTGAGCCTACGAGTCTTCCCTCTCATCCCCTTCTTTCATGTCAGCCCCATTTTTTTCCTGCAAAAGTAGGGCCTGATGGGCCCTCCTCTACTCATCTATGAAGGGAGGTAGTAAGGGCTGAGGGCTTCCAAAGCTGGAGCTCCCGCTCTGGGGAGCAAGCCCTCCTTATGCTCTGCTGCCCCACACCCACACCCATGTCATCTTCACTCCTCTCCTCACCTTCTTAGTTCTTCTGTTTTTACTAAATAGGTTAAATTTTGTTTACTGAAGGAAAATTACAACACTGAGGAAAGAATGCCTCCTCCTTAGAGGACAATAGGACAGCTTTAAAAATCGCCTTTTAAAATTGAGAAGAAATTCACGTAACGAAAGTAACCAATTGAAAGTGAACGATTCAGTGGCAGTTAGTAAATTCACAATGGTGTGCAGTTGCTACTTTATCTAGTTCCAAAACATTTTTTATCATCCCAAAAGACAACCCCACAACCATTATGCTTTTCCTTCCTATTTTCCCAGTCCTCAGCCCTGGCAACCACCATTCTGATTTCTGTGTCTGTGGATTTGCTATTCTGCACATTTCATGTAAATGGAATCATACAGTCTGTGACCTTTTATGTCTGGCTTTTATCTAGCATAATGTTTCAAGGTCCAGCCACATTGTAAAGTAGATCAGTAATTCCTTTTTATGATGGAGTAATTGTCATTTTTGTGGATATGCCACATGTTATCCATTCATCTGTTGATGGGCATTTGAGTTTATTCTACCTTTTGGTTATTATGAACAAGGCTGCTTTGACTGTCTGTTTACAAGTACTGTTTTTAATTCTTTTGGGACTATACCTAGGAGTAGAATTGCTGGGTTATATGATAATTCTGTATTTAACTTTTTGAGGAACCACTGAAATATGTTCCATAGTGGCTGTACCATTTTACATTCCCACCAGCAATTCCAATTTCCTCATCTTCACCAAAATTACTTTTTTTAGTATAGCCATCCTAGTGGGTGTGACGTGGTAGCTCATTGTGGATTTTATTTGCATTTCCTTAATGATTGGTAATGTTGAGTAGTGTCTTTTCATGTGCTCATTGGCCATTTGTATATCTTTTTTGGAGAAATATCTATTCACGTCCTTGGCTCATTTATAGTTGGGCTGTTTTTTTTAGTTTTTGAATTGTATGAGTTTGTTGCATGCTCTGGATACTACCCCATATCCGATACATGATTTGCATTTTCTCCCATTCTCTAGGTCATTTTTTCACTTCTTTGATAGTGTCTTCTGTTACACAACAGTTTTTCATTTTGATGAAGTCTAGTTTATTTTTTTTTTCTTTTGTTGTTCATGTTTTTAGTGTCATATCTAAGAATCCATTAACAGGTCATGAAGATTTTCCTCAATGTTTTCTTCTAAGAGTTTTATACTTTTTAAACTCTTATATATAGATCACTGATCCATTTTTAAAAATAGATTTTTATTTATTTTAGAGGAAGGGAGAGGGATAGAGAGATAGAAAAATTGATGAGAGAGAAACATCAATTGGCTGCCTCCTGCACTCCCCCTACTGGGGATCGAGCCTGCAGCCTGGGCATATAGCCTGACCATAAATTGAACTGGTGACCTCTTGGTTCCTGGGTCAACACTCAACCACTGAGCCACACCAGCCGGGCTATTCTTGTATTATTAATTATTCTTATATATTTTCCCATACAAACAAGTATAAACCTACTTTTGCAACTCATAGTAGTATATATTACCATCAAAGGAGGAGGACAAAGGGAAAGCCCACCTAAATGTCTGAGTTACTTTCTGTTTCCTTTCTCATAAAATGCCCTAAAAATATTTGTGACTATTTTGCTTTCAAAATATCAGGCAGCAATTGTCAGGTAGAAACCACCATTGCCATGAACCAGGAGGTCAGTGAAATGGAAAATTTCTTTTATGAATATGTGTTAGAAACATTGTCCTATTGACCAAATTTGTTAGGCTAGAGGGAGGTAGCCATGTTACAGTTCACCTGGGCACTGTGGAAAATACTTCTGTTACTTAACGATTTGGTTACTTTTGTAGTAACGCACTTAGCATAACTTTTTATAGATTTCTTTGCTTATGGATCCTTTTGAAGATATAAGGTCATTTGAGCTACAACTCCTAACATGGTTCCAAATAAAACATGGACTATGGTTAATCCACAATATTGCTCCATTTGTCAAAATTTTTGGCTATCTCTCACTTCCTGTCTTACAAGTCTAGTTTCTGTTGTTTTTCTTTTGGTGTAGGTTTGTATATTACCTATATTCAAAGGCCAAACTTGTGCTTACAGTAAAGGTTTAAGTTTTAGCTTTTAATTCATTGTTACATTTTGTTAAAAAATAACCTACATTTTATTTAAAAAATGAATATTTTCTGGGTTTTCTAAATATTGATTAAACTTTTGCTGAGTAGTGCTTATGTGAAAAAGCAGTAAGTATATCCTTCTATGATATGTGCAAGTTACCTTCATACATATTATGTTCCCTTAGCATTGTAATATCGTAGAAATGATAAAGGATTCGAAATAATTTTTGTTTGCATGTGCATTGGGGTGGGTTTCCTCACAGAATATCCAGAACAAAAACTGTTTGCTGCCCTGTTGATTAAATGTGTTGTGCAGCTGGAACTCATCCAGACTATCGACAACATTGTGTTCTTCCCCGCCACCAGCAGGAAGGAGGATGCGGAGAACTTAGCTGCAGCCCAGGTGAGGAGCGGAGACAGTCTGGGATTCAGAGCCGAGGTCGAGCTAGAGATGTAATTTGGGGGTGGGGGTAGGTCTTTATTACATTGATCTCATTTTAAACCATGGGACTGGATGGCATGACCCAGGTAGAGTGTGGTCAGGGATTGAGCCCTGGAGGCCTCCATGGTTTAGCTCCTGGTGAGGCAATTGGTAAAGAGCCGGAGACCAAGAACAAGGGTGGCATGAGGAGACCTGGAAGCCAAGTGCAGAAATGTCTTAGAAGTCCTAAGTTCTGTCCAATTCTCAGTAGGTCAAGTAATTTTCTGTCTGAGAATTGCCCTCTAGCAATTTGGTGGACTTTAGTGACCTTGACATTGTGTTTAATTGTGATATTATTATATTGGGTACAAAAGAAGAGAGTAGTTGAAGACAGCAAATATTGGTAACTCTAGGGGTACAGAGAAATGTGGTAATAGCTGGAGGAGAATGAAGGAGTGAAGAAAAGGGTGTCTTTAAGATGAGCAACATTGCAGCATGTCCTCCGATGAGAGCTCTCCGGGAGAGGGACAGCTGCTGGAGCAGTCTCTTGAGTGACTGCCTGGAGATGGACCCTAGTGCGAAGACCCCGGGGGTTGTCTTGGTTAGAAGCAGACAGCTCATGCATTATAACAGGAATGCAAGCAAAGTGAATGGGTTATATGTAAATGTAGGAAGGCGGGTGGGAGTTTGTGGAGATCTGATAGCGCTGGTTTCTCATTTAGATAGGAAGAAAAGCCATTCACCAAGTGAGTTTGGGAAGAAAGCTTTAGCTACTTGAGAGAAGGGAAAACAGGAATTAGTGTCCAGGGAATTGGACGAGGGACGTGCCAGGAGGATTGCTGGGCAGCACCCAGATTTAATCCAGCATCCACTGAATTTAAAGATAAATCAGTCCGTTTCTCTCCAGTTAGGATTAGCATGTGGGAGCAGACATGGAAGGCAGCTTTCCAAACAATTACTGTGAGGAGGAGGTGAGGGGTTGTGCAAGGGAATAATTATCATCACATGGACTCCCACCTGGTGAAGAGGAGCAGTGAGGACCCGAGGGGCGAGGAAGCGGGGGGGGGGGGGGGGGGGGGGCTGGGAGAATGTCTGTAGGGTCTGGTATGAGCAGAGCTCTGGGAGTCAGGAATCAGGAGGATCATGCTTGGGGACTAGGGTGCATGCAATGAAGATTCTGGAAATCAGGCAACAAAAGATGGACCTTTCCCCACCTTCTGTTGAGATAGAACAGATTAGGTTCTGTGGCTGCTTGTAAACCGTCTTTGGGAAGCACTGATTTCTAAAATCTGTGACTCTGTGTGTGTGCGCTATGGTGGTTTATCTCCCAAAGAGAGATGCCGTGGACTTTGATGTTCGAGTTGATACTCAAGACCAAGGAATGTACCGCTTTTTAACATCACAACAGCTTTTTAAGCTACTGGACTGCTTATTAGAGTCACATCGATTTGCAAAAGCATTTAATTCCAACAATGAACAGAGGACTGCTCTGTGGAAAGCAGGTAAGCTGCACAGTCCCACATCCAATGTTCACTGTTAATGAATGTACACCACATACTTCCATTGCTCAGAACTCACTGACTGTCCTGCAGATCTGTGCATGTCACTGTTTAACTTCCACCTTAACAACTATAATAGGAAGGCATTCTGCCAACCAGGTCTTCCTGTCAGGTCTTCAATAAATTAAGTAACTGTCTGGGTTTATTTGTTTCCCCTTGTTTAGTTGACTTTTATTTGATTGAGTTGATGAGTCGTCTTTCATCTTGTTTCCCAGCGTGGGCCTTCCTATTGACACTGTCAACAACGGAAATCTGCCCTTTTATGAGAAGCAGTGGGTGTGAGGGTCCCGAACACACACAATCTGGGATATGTATTCAAATGACTTCTCCATATAGGCCTGGGCATGACCATATCTCAGAATGAAAGTGAATGGTTAAAGGTGGGAGGTATATTTGTTTTAGAACATGTTGGAAATTTTATTTTCTTTAAATCCTTTATTGTTGAAAGTATTACATGTCTCCTCTTTCCCCTATTGACCTCTCCCCTCCCACTCCTGAATCCCCCCTCTAAGCTTTATAATTTACTGACATTGCCAATTTTTTTATTTAAGAACTAGTTACTCAGTGCCTATTTGGTGTAAAACAGTGCTGCTGGGAGTGGGGGCGGCCGAATCTGGCAGGAAAAGGAAGGTGACGTTTACTGCATGTCAAATGGAGAGTGGTTGCTTTACATTTGAGTTTCTATGTCATCTAGAATGTCTAACTGCTGGTGAAGCCCTGGCTCTGTCCGTCCTCATCTCTTTACCCCCCAACTGCAGGAGAGAGTGGTCTGGCCTTGCTTTTTCCCTTCAGACCAACTTGTTGCCATCATTCTACTTGGGACAGCTCCTGTAAGGTCACCGGGCCCGTTTCCACATGCACTTGGCCCTTCGTACCATGACCTGGAAAACAGTCCATGTGGTCTGCTCTGTTCCACAGGAGCCCTGCTGTGCTGCACGGGGCTTCCAGGTGCACTTTCATTGGGAGAGTTCCCCTTTCCCAGCCAAGTGTGGTCTTTTATCTCCTACCCCCAGCTTGAGAGGGAAAGAAATTCTAAACATAGTAATGACCTTCATATCGGGGGCCTTCAGCCAGACTTGGTCTCTACCTTCTCAGTGTGACTTCTGTCCGTGGGCCACCTCGAGGGCGCAAGGCTCTGGGCGCCGCTGCTGTGACTCAGGTAGCAGATGTGATGGCTGCACACACAGAATGTGCTGCCATCCAGGCTGCAATACCTTTATGTAAGATACTTTCCCAAATTCATCCCAAAACTTCCCCTCTCTGCAGGTTTTAAAGGCAAATCCAAACCCAACCTTCTGAAGCAGGAGACGAGCAGCCTGGCCTGTGGGCTGCGCATTCTCTTCCGGATGTACATGGATGAGAGCCGGGTTAGTGCCTGGGAGGAGGTCCAGCAAAGGCTTTTAAAGTAAGACTCTTGGCTGAGTTTCTACCTCTCACCTGTGTGGCTACATGGTACAGGGCAGGGAAGGGCCACCAGATTCGCACGTGGGCGGCGTCCTCAGCCAACCCCATGGCCAGGAGCTGCGGGACCACGCAGATAACGCGGGGCCAAGGCAGAGATTGTGATAATTAAATGCAGTCTTAGAGGAGAGTGTGCTTTTGCACAGTTGGTGACATATGAATGTGTCCTGCCTGTTGTTCCTGTTACAGGACAAAGGAGAAAGTTTTCTCTCAAAGTTTTTACAACTTTATATTCTAGTTTTTAGGCTTTTTTATGCCAGAGAGCTCATTTTTTTCAAACCAATCATTTGTGAAAGGGAAAACCTGCCTGCACTTCATTTGAAAAAATATTTGGAGGTGTGTTGTTTTTCGTGTTACTATTTTTTGCATTCTATTTTTATTTAATGACAACTTAATACTGTCTTTAAACATTTCAATTCACATTAAGGCTAAAACATCCTGAAAGACTACCATCATCTGAATAGTATTTTTGTGTGTTCTTGGGGAACAGAAAGTCTCAGCAACCAGTTAAAGACTTTTTCAAATTATATAAAAAGGTCCTAATAGTCAAATATTCGCTACCCTCCATGTCTTAGTAGTTCTTGCTCAGTGAGTGTGCCAGCAGGTGTACGAGCACGTGTAAGAGTGAACCTTGTCTGTTGCAGTGTGTGCAGTGAAGCACTGAGTTACTTCCTTACTCTGACATCAGAGAGTCATCGGGAGGCCTGGACTAACTTACTGCTTTTGTTTCTAACGAAAGTTCTGAAGATAAGTGATAACAGGGTAAGTGTGAGACTGCGTACGCAGCCCAGCACTTCTGGCTTGATAGAGTCAAAGTGTATCAATTGCAAACTCTGAATATGGGATGTATAGTCCTTGCCTGGAGACTGTATAGTTTATATTGCAATGTTAGGTAGAATTTCCCCAGAAAATTAAATTTTTATTTAACAAAAGATGGTTTCAATAACTGATACATGGCTTATAAAAAAAACCGTAGTTCCTGCTGGGCCTCCTTTTATTACCTGGAAAAAAACAATGATAAATACTAACAGTTTGTCAAATTTATCAAAATAAGATAGAAACTAAGTGACTATTTGTATGAAGTGAGTCTTGAAAACCTCTGGTCTTTCAGTTCCATAATCAGCACATCACTGCTTCACGCAGACACCCGGTGTCCATGGTCAGTGCTCGGCCCAGTGATTTGTCTCCAAAGGGAGTTTTAGGTGGTGGTTTCGAATGAAAGCACTACTAATGGAGAAATTCATCTTTTCCTCCCAGTTCAAAGCTCACGCATCATTCTACTACCCTCTCTTATGTGAAATTATGCAATTTGACTTGATTCCTGAACTTCGTGCTGTTCTTAGAAGATTTTTTCTGCGAATTGGAGTGGTTTTTCAGATATCACAACCACCTGAACAGGAACTTGGACTAAACAAGCAGTGATGGGAACTCAGCGTTCTTCTCTTGGCGTTTACATCCCTCTGATCTTTAAAAGGACCCTGGAGCTGAGATTTCCTACCTGGAAAATGGTTTCTCTGAATTTCAGTGTCTAAGGGTTACTGACTGGTAAAGTGCTTAGAACTAGAACTCAGTCTTGCAACGCTCCAGCCCTCTCCGTGATGGACCTCGTGTGTCATGTTGAGCAGAAAGCCCATTTCCAGTGTCAGCTCTGCTCACAGGTCCTTCCCTGGCCTCAGAGGCAGGGAGAGCCCCACATACTTTTGGCAGGTGTGGAAGTGAAACTTACCCAAAGAACTATAGATGTAAAGATTTGAACTTCTGTAGGAAGTACAACTCAGGAGAGCTGTATTTTGAAGGATAAAATGTTTATAATTGGGGAGTGGGGGGAGAAGAAATTATTGTTCATGGTAAAAGATATTTAGCAACTATGGTATTCTTATTCTGAAATTTTTGCACACTCAGGCTACCTGAGATACTGGTAATCATCCTTCTGTGAAAAATGTACAGAGACGACGCAGGTCTGTAATATAAAAATCTTAAACATGATATAGTTCTTGCACTGTTTTCTTTATTTTCTTATTCATTTGCTAAATACCTATACTATTTTGTCAAATGCACTAAAAATTTGGGTTTAACTTTTTGTCTTTTTATTTTGTGGGGATTTTTGTTTTGCCCTTTTCGGGGGGGTTGATAACTTTGAAGGATTAACATGCCCAGAAGCTGTTGTGGCTGATACTTGTCATGATCAACAACAACAACAACAACAAAAAGGGTAGAAAATATCCCTACTGACATAACTACCTGTAATATACTTCTCTTAGGGCTTTTAAAGATGAGCCATTAAAATAGAATGATCCTTCATGGACTGAACTTGAATCACTGCAAAATGAATCTAGGCTGCTGTCACTTTTTCTTTTGGGTGGCGGGGCTTGATGTAGATTTTATTCTGTGTACAGAACTTAATGTTGAATATATTAAAATAACTCTGGCATGGTTTGGGGAGGTTAGATTTACTGGAAATGTATTCATACTGTGAATTGTGCTCTGATGGTTAAAAATTACAAGATTGTCAAGCATTCCGTATTAACAGTGGATGTAGAAATTTTTTCAGATGGATAAAATGTATATGGTACAGATGTAAAGTTTTCTATGTAAAAAATTCTGTACAACTTTCTGTACAATATTGATTCTCATCTGGCATATTCTAATCAGGTTATAGGTCAATAAAGTTTTTGGATTATTTCATCAGTGCAATCAAACCTGTGTAATCCACAGCCCCATGTTTCATTGTTTTGTTGTTGTTTTTTGTTTTTTTTATTCAAAAGCAAATAACTAGGAAAAAGCTACTTCCTGCCAGAACTACAAATTCAATATTCTTTAGTTCTAAAGTTTTCTTTCTAGCTTCTGGCATTAGATTCTCCCCCACACCCTGCTTTCTCAATCATAGGATATTAATAATTTAATATTTTGTATATTTATTGATTACCCAGAATAATGCTATCCTATTTTAGTGAAAAGACGCAGTAAAGTTTCTGTCAGGGCAGTTGTGTGGTACAGCGGTGCATTATCAAGAAAAATGTAATGTGTCAAGAAGATCATTTATTTCTAAGCTTGTGCTAAAAAACAGGTAAGTGTTCAACCTTTGCTCTCACACCTCTCTTAGACAGCGAGTAGGCACTGAACTAGGTATTTGTAAGTCAGCAATATGTGTTACCCCTAAGATGGAGCCCTGTTCCAGCTGAGCTGGACACTGCAGCTGGGAGCCACCATGACCTTCCGCCTGTTTGACAGGTAAGTGTTTCAAGTAACCTGGCAGTTTATTATTTCATGGTGTAAAGTATCAAGCTTCTCCCTAGAGGAGACAGAGGCCTTCATCTAACTTTCAGGTGAAGAAATAAGAAGAAAAAATATTTACAGTAAAATAAGCAGTGGTTAGATTACAAATCAAGATTTACATGCAGCTAAATTTCAAAGTTTAAGAAATTTCACACTTGAGGTAAACGTATCTGATCTTGCCTGCCATTAATTGTGTCAGTGGAAGGAAGTGTGAAGCAGCAGTGACTGCACTGTTCTCTGAATTGTTTCTCAGAATTTAAATCTGTTTTAAAGGTACCTCTCATGAAGTGATTAGAAAGACGGAGTCACTTCTTCAGGGTCCATAGTGGCACAGCGGGGATTCCAGTCCATCTTTCATCCAGGGTGCTCCTGCCTCTCTCCACCTTCTACAACACCTTGTCTAGAAACCTCAATTTCAGTTAAGAAATGGACATTGGTAATAAAAATAATTTATTTCTATCAAGAAGTAGTTAAATCAGTAAACTTAATCCCTTAATTGGCACAAAAATAGAGGCAGAAGGATGTAACATTTAGTGCATGGCTCAGGAATAAAATCAATTATGACTCCCACCATTTATACTGAACCAGTAGCTATAAACAACATGGAAATCTGATTCTGTCATTACGTAGCAACTGGAATAGTGACAGCTACAGCTAATGTATTTACTAATGAATTATTTCAATAACAAGTGCACATATAACAAGTTATATGTACATTGTTAATACACTTGTTTTGTTCATTCTACTTTACAATAATGCACATATGGTAGTTGAGTTCATTACCACCCTGACTTATGGCAAAAATAATTCTATATAACTCTACATTATATATAAATTAATCATGGCCTTTTATTTCTGTACATAATATACATTACCTTATACACAGATAACATAAGTAACTTCCAGGTAGGGGTCAAAGTAGCACATATTATTAAAGGTTCAGAGTTAACATCCCTTTTACCTTAGAAGGCACTGCTGGGTCCAACACAGGTTTATTTTAACCATGTGCAGTAGACAGGCCCTGCCAAGTGAAAGTGCCTGGTTTTCCAGGAACCTGCTGGTGCTCTTGGTCCAGTTGTTCTGCCATGAACTGCTTCAGCGTTTCTGAGGTGCCTGGGCGAAGCCAGGGTTCAGTTGCTACAGAGTTTGATCCATCGTCACCCACATGCTTCATGAAGTCATCAGGGTCAATTAGTGAACTCTCGTCATCTAGAGGAAGCAAGAGAAACGTTACTCAGGTGGGTGTCAGGGGGGTGATGTGAACACAAATCTATACAGCTCTGTATTTCTCCACAATGTTAGGTTCTAAGCTTATAGTTTTGTCCAGATAACCCTCACTTTAGAGGTAGGAAAGCAAACCCAGGGAGGGACCCAACTTTAAGAAACAGAAAATGCAACTGAAAGTGACTCCATGGTACCAGCACCATCCCAAGCTCAGCAGCAGGGGCCGCAGCCACATTAATTTGGCCACAGGAGTGTGGGCCATCTTCCTTTGTGTCACCTTCAACTAACTTTTTTATTTAACAAGGTTTAGGAAGTTAAGTCATTTCAGGAAAGCACTAGACGGGATTGAAATGACTTCCACTCCACTGAGAGAGAGCTCTTAATTTGTTTCGTTCTTTAATTGCATTGATAGGACTCAACTTCCACATCTACATTTTACTTACAAATATAATAACAGGAAAATCTGTCTTCCTACCCTCTGATGTCAATTTCTTTTTTTTTTTTTTTTAATTACATCTCCTGGTCAGTGAAGGAGTAGCCCAGCAAAGGGACCTGTGCAATTTAATCCACATCGTACCAAAAAGCTCCTGTTTGAAAGGACAATGTTAAAAGTTTAGCAGTGGAATACCTTCGTAAAGAGTAAATTCTTAAAATGCTGTCTTCTCAATTTAAAAATATCCTTGTTAAATATTCAACTTATTGCTTCTAAAAGAAATTGAGGTATAAGAAACTCACAATACAGTTAAAAGAAAATGCTTTTTAGCTAAACAGAAAGCATTGCTTTCCCACTGTTCCATGTTTTTCCAGGTATGATATGAATACTCCATCAGTTTGCCATGTTTGCTGGTATTTGTTACGGAGTTACCGTCAGAACACATGACACCCTGTCTGCTAGACAGAGTGTATGAGTAGTTTTAAATTAACACAGTATTAAAGGTAAGATCTAAAAATATCTTAAGACGTTAAGTGCCAAGCCTGTTTTGTCTTCGGACATCTGATTTCACCGATAAGCTGGCGGCACCAGTGACTGACCGGTCCAGACGGGAAGTATAGTGTCAGTCACCGGTGACTGACATGGCGCTTAACACGTTAAGAAAATTGCTATAAGACAATTATTGTAATGTAGCTTCACAGACTAAAGAAAATTGTCCAAATAGATCACTATCTGCTAAAGCTAATAATCCAGCAGGTCTTGTGTGCTATAAAATTGTCCCATTATCCTAATGACTAACATCAGCATTGAAAAGGTGGTCCAGGCTGGCAGAGGAGCGTGCCAGTTGCTTAAGGAACTGTCTGTCCTGCCTGCCTGGCACCAAAGCCCAACATAATGAGACTAAGCTTTGATGGGTCAAAAGGAAATAATTAACGAGGCTACTTTGTGTCCAAAATACTGAAAGCCAAGTAAAAAGGTAAAATCGTTTTCTTTGTAATACTATCAATTTATAATGTATGTGTAATCTAAAAAAACTAAATGTTTTAAGTTAATTTCTGATATTCTCTCACTTCAGTAAGGAAGCATTTTCCCTGCTGAAAGCAAAGCCTGCGCATCTTTATAAGCAAAAGCTTTGTTTAGAACCCACTCAGAAAAGGGTACCCCTAATCTGATGCAAAATTAATCCCGAGTCCCGGTTTTACAGGATGTGTGATAGAGGCCCCTTGATTTCAAACTCATTCCCTCAGTTCCCCAGCCATAAGGGAAAGCTGCCATGTAAGCCTGTTAGACTCCTTACAGAATCTGCTATACGCCATTAAAACTGGCCACTTACCTGTATTAATAGGTTTATTCTGGAGTTCATTCAATCTTCGCATTCGTTCTTCATTTCTCATTCTAATCTGATCAATATTTATACTGGATACAGATTTTAAAGAGAGATCATCTGGTGGTACATTAGGAAGACCGTTATCCTGTAGTGAGAAAACAGAACTTCAGAAATGAAATGATCATTAACATGAAACATGTTCAGAATTAACAGGTGAATCAAAACATGTTTTTGCCCTTGATAAGTACACAGTGTGATGAACAAAATAAAACAAATGAAAACCTAGCATTTACATTCTAACTCTTGGTGTTTATCCATGCAGGCTCAGATGAAAGTACTGTGTGTGTGATAACAGAAACACTGCCACACTGGACAAAGGTGGAACATAGTTGTAACCCAACAACTCTATTCCTAGGCATACACACACGAGAGGTGAGAATATCAAAAAACTTGTACACAGATATTAAAAGCAGTATTCATAACAGACAAAAGTGGAAACAACCTAAATGTCTATCAGGTGTTGATTCAAAAATGTAGACTATCCATAAATGAAATATTATTCAATAAAAGGAATTAAGTCCTGACAAGCGATAACTTAAATGACCTTTGAAAGGAAAAAAGCCAGTCACAAATGATCATATATTGTATGCTTTCATTTGTGTGTCCAGAGAAGGCAAATCTGTAGACGGAAAGTAGATTAGTGGTTGACAGGAAAACAAGTCTTGCCACGTGGTAAAGCTGTGCATACATATGATCTAGTAACAGCATTTGTCATTTGGTCAGGGTCGTCTGCATGTTTTATGTGACCTTGGAATGTTATCTATATAACAGGCTTTCCAATAAATGGTATCACTTGCCTCCCGTGCCTTCTCAGAATTCCATATATTCTGCAGGTGGAAGGAAGGAAACTAGGGTAAGGAATTATTTATAGGGCAGAGGTCCTGTGCCAAGTACCAGGCTTATACTTATAGCCACCCTAGGAGATAGGAAAATATTACTTCAAAGAAGCCAAGGCAATGAGTTCAATGACTTGCTCAAGGTCATCCAGCTATTTGGTGGTAGAGCCTAGATTCAGATCCATGTCCCTATTACAGAGCAAGTACCTTTATTTACTGGACCAGGCCAATTTAGGATGGGCCAGAACCCAGACCTCCTAAACGGAAAAAGAAAAGGGTGTTCCATACATACAGAGGCCAGTCCTTTCCATTTGCTCCTCCTGCGCTCCCTTGCAGAGGGCAGCTGTGGGGGTGGAAGGAGGGTGTCCTCTCCAAAGGCAGGATATGTCTCACCATACGCACCTAGAAGGACCACACAGGGAGAAGTCCATTTCAAATCTTTTCACTCATCTAAACCCAGACTGTTTCTTACTGGCTTTAAGATGTTATTTACATATAATAAAACCCACCCACTATAAATGTACATAGTTCCACGATTTTTAC